TTATATTTTTTTATTATTCGCATGTTATCGAAAAGTAGAAGTAAAATGTACTCAAATATTACTAAATTGGCAATTTTATAAATTATAATGACCTATTCATAATTAAAATAAACTTTTATTTTAATTTTATAGTTAAAAACTTGAATCATTCAAAATGTCAAAATCTTTCAACATTTTAATCATTTTAACATTTATTCAAATTTCGCCTTCAAGTTCAAGCGAGGGTGCATCTTCAACTTCAGGAAATGCACCTCCTGATCGAAGACTTGCTTTAGAATTGATTAAAAAATATACCGATGAGTTTACTGTTGAGAATTACAAAAAGTATGAGGAATGTATTTGGATGTCAAATAATATTAATACTCATGAAAAGTATAATTACTTTATTGGACAGGTTTAGTTAATATGAAATTTTTATATCATATTATACATTGGTAGATAAAGACCGGATGTGATTGTAAAAATATTGAAATTTTTTATTCCTATATTCCGATCTTTTAAGTTGTCAGTTTTTTAATATTCACTGATTAAGCTCTACTGGTCGTGGCCTATATGTCCGCAAAAGGCGTTTCTGCAAAAATCAATTTTTGCTGCATTCTCCTCCTTACCGTTTCTTTTCTTTGAATGGTTGCCTCTCTCTCTCTTCGATACAAATTTTTTCCAAATCATAAAGAAAATAATTTTTATTTACTTATAAATTGCAAATTTTAGTGTAAAATGTTCCTAAAACAAGCATTAATGAAAGAACATTTGAGTGGTGATAAACTAACAAAGACAATGAATGAATATATTCGTACCTGGTTTCTAGCGATTTCTGAAATTAAAGCGTTTTGTGAAAGTCAAGTTACTATTATTCATGATATTGTTAGATATAATTATTGGGTAAGTTTAATAATTTATCCCTCGCCAAAATAATGTTATTAAAATCAAAGTTACGAAAAACGAAACTTTGATAAACACCGTCTTATGGATTTGAAATTTATAAAGTAATTCCATGCCACCTGTATAACTGTAGCTGTGCTTGAACAGTCAAAGGTGTCGGAAATCGGAAGAGACGGAAATAGGAACTGGCTCAAAAGTCAGAACTAAGAAATCGGAAATCAAAATTTTTTTCCGGAAATCGGAAGGAAAAAAACGTCGGAAATCGCAGTCGGAAATAGGAATTCCGACCCGCCTCTGCTTTTTAATCTTGTGGGTTCCTTATGAATTCCTCAGTTGTTATTGTAATTTCTACTGTTAAATCGGTGAAATTCAGTTCGTTCCCCTCCTTTTTCCTTCCTCAATGTATTAAAAAATGGTCAGTCAATCTTATGTTATAGAACTCATGATCTGGGACTAATGACTCCAAAATCAACCCCCGATCTTAATTTTGGGCCGAGATACAAACACAAACCTTGTAGTGCGGAGAATGTAGTGTCACAATTCCTCGTAAGTTCTGTAGAGGAGGGACAGGAATAACTCGGGCTCGCACGCGAGTATTCCTTTTTTGAAATGGGCAACGGAAATATCGGATCTCCAGAAGACAAATCTGCCTAGGACTGACTGACCAATTTTTAATACTTTGAGGAAGCAAAAAAAAGGGGAGAACGACATAATTGTACAACTAAATCTTTATGAATTTATATTAAAGTGCGAAACTTCTAAACATCTTTGGTTTTAAAATTTTAAATAACCGGGTCTGGTCGTGTCTAAAAAAAGCGGCCTGGGTCTGTTTAAAAGAGAAAAATCAGGATAACTAGCACGGCAAGTTGAGAATGCCTAAATCTATTAATTATTAAATTATGCATTTAACATTTAATTTCATTTAAGAAAAAAATGAGGGAGATCATATATAACGAAGCTGTGAAGAAGGAAATAAAAGAATGTCCAATCTGTTTTAATGGATTTAATAAACTGGAGGATATACAAATTACTAATTGTGGACATTTCTTCCATTGGGACTGTATTAAAGAATGGTTTTATTGGTCCAATACAACCAACCATAAATATTGTCCGCTCCGTTGTCCTCAAAAACTGCAAATATTTATGCATCCAGCTGTTGCTCAATTAAATGATGAATTAAAAAGAAGTGGTATTGTTAATGTTGGCTACGAAGAAAAGTATAAATTAGTTCACCGAGGTGTTAATTAGATTAAGACAACGAGTATTTTTCGGTTATGGCGGCAAAGGTTTACGAAATAAACGTAAAAAGCCTTTTGCCGTTATGACCGAAAAAAACATTTATTTACAGGGTGCGGCAAATTGTTATAACTTTCTTCAAAATTAACGAAAATTGATCATTTTTTTGTTTTATTCCCAACACTCTAGCAAACGTGCTGATACCACATATTAAAAACTTGGTTCACTTTTGGCAAAGATAATCGAGTTTGAACAGCAGGAAAGTTCAAAAACATTTTTTATGCCAAAGTTTAATTGACAATCGCATTTTTGAAAATTTACACAAAAATTTTATATTTGCCAGAATTATTTTAATTTATCATTCAGTGAGCCATATCTAGGTCCATTTATGTGATACACACCTATTTTGACCTCATTCGAATCAGATTGAAGAGCTGATTCGAATGATATATAAATTTCTCATATCAAAATAATAGCCTTGAATGCCAACTTTTCTCCAAAAAAATTTGCTTAATATTTTAGAGAAGATTAATCAACTTAATTAAAAAATAAGCAATTTTGGTATCAGCAAGTTTTCTAAAGTGTTGGGAATAAAACAAAAAAAGAATTATCAATTTTTACTAATTTTGAAGAAAGTTATGCCAAAAAGAAAAAGTGCCAAAAATTTGACACACCGTTTAGTTAATTAGAGGCGCCTATTCTAATTAAGAGCGATGTTGATGTTATTTTATGCGATAGAATGTTCCTAGAGTTAACGCGAGCGAGCATGGTGAATGATATTTATTAAGACTTGGTCAGGCTTTAACCAACCGTAAAGTAGGCTTTGATTTAATATGAGCTAGAAACTTCTCTCTAGGCTACTTCTAGCCTTACAAGGATTACGCCTTTAAGCCTTACAATTTATTTAAATTAAAAAAAACAGGAAAAGCAAAAAAAACCAAAAAAATACTGTCCTTTTAAATCTATTTATAAGTAAAATCTGTATACCGTATATGCTCGAATAATTACCCTGGGTAATTAATGTTTCGACCTCTCGATGGAGGGGGTAATTATCGAGAGGAGGTGCTATATTTGGAATTTATCTCAAAAAATCGAGGAGGAAATCGATTTATTTTTCGATATTAATTTCTAAAATGTTTCAATAATTAAAAATGACAATGATTTTTTCAATATTTTTAAAATTTGTGGAGGAAAAAGAGGGGGTAATCATTAAAGGGGGAAATTATTTGAGAGAGGGTAATTATTCGAGCATTTACGGTAAGTAATAGTGTTGGTCAAACGCGATTTTTCGGTATCGGTATAGGTATTTTCGGTAAAATACCGATACCGCAAATACCGCGGTATTTTTGATTGAGGCGGTATCGGTATCGGTATTTCGGTAAAATACCGATACCGAAAAATACCGACGAAAAATAATCGGTATTACCGCGGTATTTCGGTATTTTTTGAAAATTTACCAAATGAGCAAATTTAATAAAATAAATGTGAAATAAGTTTATAAATAGTGAATAAATAATGAATTTACTATTTATAATGAATCAATGGAAGTGTTTGGTTCAGAAAAATTAACATTTCTGCATTTACTGGACACTAAAGTGATAGCCTGTATTCAAAGACGTCTCTTGCTACGGAATAAATCCTTTAACTTTCTACTGACGTTGCTTGCGCAGAAAGATAACGTTGAACAAACAACAAGAACCAAAAGAGGATAAAGTACTGCGGCGCAAATATAGTGAGATATTATCAAGGGACCTAGTGATTAATCCATCGATATCCCTCTAAATCCATTATATCCAATTGAAAAGATTTGAATAGATATCAGGTTATATAGGATGCTAGGAGGATTGAATCTCTCGATATTCCTTTTATCCCTGATATGACTATTGCATGGAGTATATCGGAAGATAAGCATGGATCAAGGTAGATTTGAATGGATAAAAGTTTTTCAAAAATTTTGAGAATTTAGTATGTCCTTAAGTCAGATTTCTTCATTTTTTGCGCCGCAGGCGAAAACTTTAAAAAATTTTGAAGGCCATGAAGCCAGATTTTTTCCATTTTTCACCGCCGGAAGCCAAAATTTTAGAATTGGAAGCCAACTTTCTTATTTTTTCAGCGCCGCAGGCGAAAATTTTGAAAATTTCGGAAAGCCGTAGGCGAAAAAACTCACTTTTTAGTCTATCTGGAAAATACCGAAATACCGAAAAATACCGCGGTATTTTGATTGAGGCGGTATCGGTATCGGTATTTCGGTAAAATACCGATACCGAAAAAATACCGATTTTTTAAAAACTGTGCGGTATCGGTTTCGGTATTTCGGTAAAAAATACCGCGGTATTACCGAAAAATACCGCGGTAATACCGTACCGTGACCAACACTAGTAAGTAATACCTATTCTTTTCAATTTTATTAATATTTGTAATAATTTATAAGTAATTTATTTGTAATTTATTAACAAATTAATAATTTATTTGTAATAATTTTATGTAATAATTTATAAGTAAAATCTATTCTTTCCAATTTTATGTAATATTCATACTTTTGTATAAAATTTTTCCGGGACACTAATTTGTTTTTTAATAGTTTGAGATTATGATCAGCAACTCATTAAGTTTAATATTTAATTTTAATATAGAAATCTGATTAGAAAAATTGATGAAACAACGTTTACATAAAGCTTTATTTCTCACCAATAAGATTAAAGTTATAGGTAGAGAGGCTATTTTTGTCTCGAAGAAGAAATTTTAAAGAAATCTCTAAAGCCATTTCATAGCAAATTTCATGTGCTTTCAACCGTCATAAAAGAAAAACTATATCACGTACTAAACATGAATAAAAAAAGGTTTTAATTTATCACACAATCTTCAAAAATATACATACAAAATTATTTTTTAATTATTTTCTCTTGACAATCAAATTGCATAGCTGCAGAAGTAATAGCAGCTGCTATTTGATGGAATTTTGAATTATCTTTTTTATTCATTTCATCAACGGCCAAAACCTCAGCTAATTGAAGTTTTCCATCTTTGTTTGTATCTGCTTCCGCAAAGGAAGTTTTGGATGTTTTTTCCTCCTCTTCTCGAACTTGATGGGCATGATATGCCACAAATTCCTCTTTTGTAACAGTTCCATCATTGTTTAAGTCAATTGAATTAAATAACTCTCTGGCGGATGTATTATCATCTCCATCAAATGTACCTAAATAATTCGGTAAAAGTGTTGATAAAGCTATGATTTACACATACTACCTATTCCTATTGTTGTCGTATAATGATATTAAGGATCCTAAAAAATTCCGGACATATAGAGATTTACGGTTCTGATACTTGGGATTTTAAAAAGTCAATTTTCCTGGGATTTCAAGTATCCGACAGTCCTAACTATACTCTTTCGATACGAAACTAACGTTTAGAGTTAGTATCAGGTTACAGAAACATGGACTTTTTCTGCTTTTAAATCGCGATCTACAAAAGATTTGTTTAAACGAGACTTCGGTTTCGAATTATAAAAGTTCAAGTTTTGAGTATCAAACTATAATAATATTTCAAATTACCATTTTTAGCAGATAGAGCTTCATTAATTTTAATCACCCCATCTCCATTTTGATCTCTCGAAATAAATTCTTGTTCTATTCTGTGATCTCTACTTAGAGAACATTTATTGCCTTTTTCAACAGAATCCATTAATTCCAAAAATGTTATTCCGCCATCTTTATTTGTGTCGATAGATTTAAAAACTCGTTCAGTTAATTTATGTTCATCATATTCCAAATCTGATTTTTTGAATTTTATTTTTAGTTACAATCTGACCCCTCTATCTATAGGTGGTATTGCTTAATCATCCCCCACACCCAGTCTCATAGAAGACGAGTGAGGGAGGGAGATGACTAGGGCGAGGATGACATCCCACAATTAGTTGAATGAGTGAGGGTTAAACGATGCCACTATTAAAAATACACCTATATGATTTTTCAGCCATAATATTTAAAAACGAGGTCCGACACAGGGATGTCATGGGTTGGGAAAATAGTCAGGTCGGGTTTCGGTAACCCGTGACATCTCTGGTCCGACAGTATATAATTTAAAAACCTTCATCTCCTTCATTCAAAGGGCGACCATTTATCCTTTCAAATGATAAAAGAAAAAAAGCTGATAATTGAAGGAAACATTGCTTTTTGATGAACATTAAAAATTATCTTTATAATTAAAAATAATTTAGTTAACAAAAATCTGAAAATATTTCTAGTGGGTACACCTAAAGACCCCAAGGTTTTCAGAGCGTACACAATACATGTACACCTGACCCAAGTCTCAATTTATTCCCAGTTCGAGCTCTGAGAAATCCAAAAAGTAGTATCTCCATCAATAATATCCCTCAGTAGTATATCCCCATAAAATCCCCCATAAAAATACTCGGTTTACACCGAGTCTGTCGAGTTTGAAGTTTCCGAGTAAGTATTTGGATCCCGAGTTCCGAGCCCGAGTAATGACACAAAAAATCCGAGAGATCGAGTCGAGTAACTCTAACTCGCTCGACTCGGACATACTTTAATTAAAAATAATTTAGTAAAAAAACTGAAAATATTTCTAGTGGGTACACCCAAAGACCCCAAGGTTTCAGAGCATACACCACACATGTACCCCTGGCCCAAGTCTTAATTTATTCCAGGTTCGGGCTCTGAGAAATCCAAAAAGTAGTATCTCCATCACTAATATCCCTCAGTAATATCTCCCATTATAATTAAGTAAAAATTACTCTAATTATTTTGCAACAATTATTTTTTGAAAGTAATTTTAATAAAATAAATAAAAAATTTTTGTTTAATAAGCGCGAAAATAAAATAATAATTTAGTTGTTAATTGAATCGATGGTCTTTCAGTAGTAAAAGATATTCGTAATAGCAATTAAAAGTTATTACATCGAATAATAATTAATAATAATTATTTTGGTTGTGTAATTCTCTCAAAATAAAAATTTTTTGGTTGTAAAAAAATAAAATGAATGTGCGAAAATTTTATTTTTTTATTAAAATTAATTTATTACTTTTATTGAATACGTAATAATTTTTTGAAAATTATATTTTTTAATTTTATTTTGATTAATTTATTCAGAAAAATAATTAAATAAAGTTAAAAAAATAAATTCTGGTCAAGGCTGTATAATTAAAAAAATTCTATTAATTTAGAATTGAAAAAACATCATTTAGCCCTTTAAGGAGGGATCAAGCGATTTTATTGTAGTGCTTGAAAAAACTGAAATTTCCTCGGTTTTTTGGTCTGACAAGACAATTCAATCAACAGATAATTAAAAGCGAAAGTAGCTCTGTAAAATATTCAAAAAAATTTTTTTACTAATTTTTAGATCGTATAGTGATAGTCACAGACTGCTTCAGAGACTTGCTAGCAACCAAAATATAAAAACCGAAGATATTCTTAAAAAAATTTTTTAGAATAAGTTCTATTCACTAATTCTTCAACTTTCAGAAAAAAATAAATTCTTTAACTTTCACTTTTCAAAAAAAAACATTCTTTGCCAACTAAAAGTGCCAAAGACTTATTTTGTCTCTAGAGAGAATAGTGTAATAATAAAAGATATATCCATTGTATTTAGTGTCAAGACGCATCCTTTTCTTTAAAGATTTTAATGTTTTTTCCACCCATTCAAGCATAAACTCACTTTGAGTTAAAACATAAATTTTTATAAAAATAAAATTTAACATTAGTCTTTAAAATTAAAATATTTTACTTCGACTTTTTAAATATTATTTTTTAAACCAACGGATTCGATAGCTGAACCGAGATTACATTTTTCATGATCTAGATATCCAGATTCGCAAACGCGTTCTCGTACCTTAACAAAAAAAATTAAGATGGTACGAGCAAATTTGAAATTTCGAAGCATTATTCGTACCTTATTTTCACTAAGGAAGCCCAAGTTTGTTGACATTAAACCGAGTGAAATTACTAATTGAGTTACTGGAGTAATTATTAAATTAAATAAAAAAGTTTTTTATCTTTAAAAATTCAAAAATTAAAAAATATTTTATTTCAAAAATTATATTTTATGAAATTATATTTTATGGAAAACTTACTTAATTTAGTTATTGTAACTTAATTAGCATAACTAAAGAATAGAGAAAATTTATTTAATAATTTATTCTTGTTTACTTTCTCACTTTTCCCAATTAGCTGGCAAACCCTTTAAAAATACGGCATTTCTGTTGCCACGAAGAAAACCAACCAAAGTTATATACCTTCATTATTTTTTTTAAAAAAATTATTTATTAAAGCTGTCTAAGTTCCGTCTAAACTTATATTTGAGGAAAATAAAAGCTCACGGGATGGATGTCCTAAAATTGAGCCCTAAATTTGTCTTGTACAGATAAAGAGTTTGAATTACGTGTAACTAACCAAGAGTCATATGAAATTACCCAGCTCATAAGAAATTCACAAAAAAATTTTTTAATTAAAGAGAATATTAATAATCACTATTTTTTATTAATATTTAAATTTCTTCATCAAAATGTCAAATACTACGATAAATTTAAATGAAATTCCAAAACAGATTATAAGCATTAATTTGCCCACTAAACAAAAGGTTGTCTAAAAATATTCCTGGATTTATCAAAATAATTTTTTAATTTAAAGTATACGGCATTAAAGCCTTTATTCACGGCTGCATTTAAAGCAGGATGTTACCACTTTAATATAAAATATAATAATTCTGGAAATGATCAAAATATAATAGAATTTGTTAAATTAATTAATGAGTGGAGTAATAAAGAATTTTTTAATGAAAATCAGGTAGAATTTAAAATAAAACTTTAAGTTGATAAATTGACTTGAGAAAGGTTTTTGATTTCATTACTCGCTGCTCCAAGTCTACAAGTCTCCGGCACAATTTCTAAATCTAAAAATCATAGTATAATATTAGTTTTATTATATTGTCATGAAAGTTTATTCTAGGGAATTAATCCGAAAAGATAATCATTTTTACTATATTTCCTGAAATACTATTAGAGAAGGCAGTAATACTAACTGGGAAGGGCACTACTATTTCGTATCAAACTTTTGTCAAATTTGCGAGTTTACTGAATCTTAAAACTAGAACTGCAGATGATACATTTCATCTGCAGCCTAAAACTGGGCTGCATATGAGACAATCTCTTAAAAATTTTTTTTTATTATTTTAGTCATCTCCAAGAGAAAACAAAAATGTTTCTTTATCACTAACACTAATAATCAACAATAATTTAAATGAGACACTTTCTACTGACATTGAAGAATTATTAAATCAGCCAAATTTAAATTTTAGACCAAATTTAATATTATTAAAAATAAATAATTTAAATAATAATTTATATAAACAACCAAAAAAGAAGGCAAAAATCGAGGAAAATAATAAAAATATTATTATAAATCAGGGCTCTCATCGACAAAATACCAATCAAGAGTACAAAAATCTCGATTTTAAAGTACATAGGGACAAAATTTCCAAATTTAAAGGACACTCAAAATTAAATTACAAAATATTTATTCGCCCTCAAATCTTTTATACTATTTCTCTGCTAAATGAATTTTTCTAATAATCTCTTGTTTCCACTGAGCATTTTGTGCATTTCATACACGCCATGTCAAAATTCGCTGTCTCAAGAAGTAAAGCCCTGACAGTCTTAACCTCAAGCAAGCTACTTTCTTACGTCCATTTTCAACGCCGCAGGCGAAAATTTTGGGAAATTTCGGGGTTCTTAAGACAGATTTTTTCCATTTTTAGCGCCGCAGACGAAAATTTTTTAAATTTGGCACCCAAGAAGCCAAATTTCTTCCTTTTTCAGCGCCGAAGGCGAAAATTTTGAGAATTTTGGAGTTCCTTAAGCCAGATTTCTTCCTTTTTCAGCGCCGCAGGCGAAAATTTTGAGAATTTCTAAGGCCGTAGGCCAAAAAAATCCACTTTTTTGCCCAATCCTTCCCTATTTTCATTTTCAATCCAAAATGTTGATTTTAAAGTACATACTTTCAAAAAAGTACAAATTCAATTTTGTAAGTACGGAGGTCGATTTTAAAGTACTGTACTTTCAAATAAAGTACGAATGAGAGCCCTGTTATAAATATTAGATCAAGTATTAGAAGAAAGGATAATTATTTGGCTAAAAATTATCCCTTAAAATTGTGGAATTCTTTAGAAAAATATTTAACCTCTGGAAATTTAAAAAATTTTGGAATTTGTGGAATTGATTTGGATAAAATTGAAAATGTGTATAATGGGGCATTAATTAAACCTAAATATTGGCAGGTAAAAATACATTGTATTTCTTAAAAAAGTATTTTTGTATTTTTAAGTATTTTTGAATACAATACAAAATTCTGATTTATTTTAATAAATAAACTTGAATAATTAATTCTGGTTTTGTTTAAATCAGAATTAATTCATATTATTTCAGAATTATAATTTCAGAATTATTTTAAGGATTATTATTTCAGAATTATTTTGCTGATTATTATTTCAGAATTATTATTTCAGAATTATTTTGAGGATTTTTATTTCAGCTTATAATTTCAGAATTATTTTAAAGATTATTATTTCAGAATTTTTTAATGATTATTATTTCAGAATTATAATTTCAGAATTATTTTAAGGATTATTATTTCAGAATTTTATGAATATTATTATTTCAGAATTATAATTTCAGAATTATTTTATACAATTATTTTTTCATAATTTTTTGTTATTTTTTACCAGAATTATTATTTCAGAATTTTTTTCTTAAGTATTCCGTTTTATATAAAACTTTAATTCTGATTAAATTTTTAAAAATATAACTAATTTATTCTCATAATTTATTCTCAATAATTAAATAACTCATTTATTAATTTTAAATCATAATTAATTAATTTTATTCAATTTAACTTGTTATTAAATTTATTTAAATGTTTTTAGATAACTTTAAATCAATTATTAGAATATTTTGAAGAAATAAAGAATTTGGCTAATAAGCTAAACCTATTACTTATAGTTGATACAACTGGGGGTGTTGGAGAATGTAAAATTAATGGAACTATGAGAACTAATTTGTTAAGAGATTTATCTAAAAAATATGAAAGAACAGCAAGTCAAGTTGGTTATTGTAATATATGTAGTATAATTTCTCTATTTGTATTTTATGTGTTTTTTATTAAAATACAAAATTCTGATTAAATAAACTTGAATTATATGTAGATAATTCTGATTTTATTTAAATCAGAATCTCAGGTTTATTTTATTTTTAATTCTGATTTAAAGTTTATTATTTTTTTCAGAATTATTTTCCAAATTAATATTATTTCAGAATTTTTTATTCTAATTTTGATTTAAAGTTTTTATTTTAGAATAAAATTAATAAAAATTCTAATTTAACTAAAACCAGAATTAATAATTCAAGTTTAATTATTGTAAAGGTTCTCCATCGTTGGCTAATTCAGCATGGAATGATAATTCAACGCAATTGTGGAACACTTAATTATTTAAATATTTCTCGACAAATCTCAATCTCAGATATTGAAATTTGTGATGAGGATATGAATATTTTAAATGATCTTTACAAAAGAAAAGCTCAGGAACAAATAAAAAGGTGAAATTATTTCAAAATTAATTTAATTAGTTAGCAAAAATATATTTTAAAATAAAAGCCATAAATCTACTTATTATTATTAGAATTTTGTATTTATAAAATAATTATTTGACTTTTTTTCTTAATTAATTAAAATTATTTCACTAAAATTTCAGAATAAAATTATTTCAGAATTAAATAAACCTTAATTCTGAAATAAACATCTCTGCTTAAAAAAAGTTTAATTCTGATTTTAAATAAACATTAATTCTGACTGAATAAATTTATTTCTGATTTAAAGTTTATTCTAAATAAACTTGAATTCTGAAATAAAACTTAATTCTGATTTAAGAAAAGTATAATCTGGAAATAAACGTAATTCTGATTTTAAAATAATCTTTTTCTTTATATAATTCTAAAATAATAATTCCTGAATAAGTTTGAATTCTGATTATAATAAATTTTTTTAACTAAAATTCTGAAATAATTCCTAAATATAACTTAAATTCTGACAAAATAATAAATGAATTGTTATATTTCAGAATATATTTATTTTCTATTATTATACTCTTCATAATTTCTTAAATGATAATAGCCTCCTTTTTTGTTACATTTTCCCAACGGAATTTGTTTAAAATATTGTTTCTCTTTTTAAATTTATTTTCATTAAAATATTAAAATTATTATAATTTTACATATTTTTTATTTTTTATTTTTATTAATTAATTAAAAATTTTTTTTAACAAATTTAAATAATTTATTGCCAATTTTCTTTTATTCCAATTTAATCCAATTTTCCGTTCATTTAAATTTCTAGTATTTGATAAATAATTCTGACAATGGCCCAGCATGAAAAATAAATGTTCTGAGAAAATATATTTTTTTCCTATTTTTCCTTTCATTTTTCACGCTTTCTTAATTTTTAGATGCTTTTTATGCCAGACCAAAAAAAGCCTTATTTTTTAATCTTTTATATTGCTTGTATTTCTTTTTCTTGCATTTTTTAATAAAGACAAAATATTTTCTGATTTAAAAAATGTATTTTATGTATTTTCTCTAAAATACAAAATTCTGATTTCTATTTATAAATAAACTTGAATTATTAATTCTGATTTTATTAAACCAGAATTAGTTTATTTCAAGTTTATTTTCATTTTAATTTTGATTTAAAGTTTAACTATTTCAGAATAAATTAATCGCAAATTCTGAATTTAATAAAATCAGAAATTATAATTCAAGTTTAATTTTATGTTTAAATGTATTTCAGAATAAATTAAATAAACCTTAATTCTGATTTAAATAAATCAGAAATTATAATTCAAGTTTATTTTTAATTTAAAGTTTAAATGTATTTTTCAGAATTAAGTAAATAAACTTAAATTCTGATTTTTGTGTTTTTGATAAAATACATAAATAAAAATTAATAAAATACATGTAAATATGTAAATTTCTTCTTGCCTTAATTTATTTTTGTTTATTTATTTTTTATTTTCTTTCATCTCCATAATTTATTTAAAAATATTCTCTTTTACTAAATCCATTTAAGTGTGAGAAAAAGCCAAAAAAGACAATAATATCCTTAAAATGCTTTCTACAGTGGAGATGCTTTCATCACCCCCAAATTCTGTGAGAGTCAGATGTTGTCGCAGACTTTCATCTCTTCCATTAGCCACATGGCGGCTCAGTCGACACTTTAGTATTGGGTAGATTTAATGGAGGGAAATTAATTTATTGAAGAAAAAAATATTTTATTGTGTTCTCAAAAAATTTTTCTATTTCAAAAAATTTCAAAAAAAATTTCAAAAATTTTTTAAAAATTTTTAAAATTTCAAAAAAAAATTCAAAAATTTCGAAAAAAAATTTTTTTCAAAAATTTCAATTTTTTCATAAATTCCCCTCTTTTCAGTGTTATAGAAAAGAACGGCAACGGTTTCCATTCCAGTCGTCGTTTAATGGGTCAGAGAAGGCTTGCTGGGGATTTGGCACTCGGATTGGCCCTTATAGGGATTTCATTAATGATTATTGCTCATGAATGTGCCAATTTAAATTTTAAAATTTTTGAAAAGACAGCAAAGATCGGTTTAATTATTAGCACTTTTGCTCTACTTTTGGCTACATTAAACTTTCATTGGATTGATATTAAGGCAGATAAATTAACTTTTAATTATCAAATATAATTTTTAGACGTATATGTATCAGAATAGTATACCTAATTGGCAAACTGTGTTGACACAGCATGTTAAAATGAAAATAATTCTTGAGGTAAATTAAAGGAAGGATATCTCTAAAATGTTAAAGGGAATATCATACGAGAATCATGATCGGTATCTCTAAAAATCTCAATTCTCGATAACCCCTCTTTCCAAACTCACAAGGCTAATATTTTCAAAAAAAAATCCAAAAATTAAAGTTCAAACCGGGCCGGGTCCCGAACCGGATTTTCGGTATATTTTTCCGGAAAATCCGGCCGGATAAAAATTTTTGAAATCCCGAAACTGGGATTAAATCTCGAACTCTACCAAAATTAATTGAGCATAACGATATCACAGTTCATTTTTTTACTTTTTAATAAAATTAAATTAATTTGTCAGCTCATAGTTTGTTCAATTTGTCCATTGCCTGGTTTGGAATGGCCTACCATCGATGCTTTTTTAAGTTCATTAATGTTCTTAAGGCTTTATTGGGTAACTAGATGTTTACATTTACATTCACGATTATCATATGATGTCGCTGCAAAGTCAATTGCTGGGATGAATAGAGTAAAGACTGATACAAAATTTATTTTGAAGAGAACGCTTTATCTTTATCCAGGTACTTTGCTATAAGACTTAATTATGCTATACACCCTTGCGGATTATAATGAGACTTAGGTATTTTAGAGGTGGTATCCAGTGCTGGGTATTTGCCATTTGTTGGCTCCGGGGTTTCAAATTCTTGGCTCCGGGCTCCGGGGTTTCCAAAATCATAGCTCAGGCTCCGCCGGAGCCGGGCTCCGGAGCTATACACAGCACTGATGGTATCCCTTGTGAGGCCATCTAGCCCAATATCCGCTCAGATTACTTATAAAAAATTCTAGATTGAGGTTATCTCGTATCTTATATCGTGTTCCTAATATATTTTAATTTAAAATGGAGTTTAAAATAAATTAAATTTTAAGGATTGGCACTAGCAATATTTGTAGTAAGTAGTCAATTTAAAATAAATATTAAACATTAATTCAAAAAAATTTTGACAGCTAGTTTTCTGGTTAATTGGCGGGTATATTCTTCGACTTTGCGAAGGGTAGGATTACAAAAAAAATTTTTCTCTAATTCAAATATTTAGTAATTTTGGAGATGAAAATTTGAGGAGCTATTATAATGCTTTATGGTTAATGTGTGTCACCTTTCTGACTATTGGATATGGTAACTCTTGAATAAATTTTTAATTACCCCTCCATATCTATCAGGAGATGTTTATCCTATAACTGTTTGTGGAAGACTTATGGCTATTTTGACTGGGGTTATCGGTGTTTGTGTAGCCAGTATGATTGTTGCCGTTATTTCACAAAAGATTTCCTTAAGTCACGCTGAGGAGCGTGTACACAATTTTATGGCTAGGACTAAACATGCTAGAAGTGTAAGAAGTTTAAAAATAAATTTTACAAGATACTATAAATTTAGTTAAAAATAACTGCAGCACAAGTACTAAAAGAGTGTTGGTTTTTGTACAAAATTAAAAGTATGGCTGATCAAGTAATTGCATAAAATTTGTTTTTAAAACCGGATATTAGCCATGTTATAGACCAGGCTAGGGCTAATAATCGAAATTGTCTTAAAATATTCTTGCATCTTACTCCCCCAAGTATTACCTCTCCCCTTAAAATTCCAGTTAAGTATGGATTAGAGTTTCACCGGAAGTTCCTATTCCTGTTCCGTGAATCGGAACTTAAATTGAATCCGGTTCCGGTCAAAATTTTTGTTCCGTTGGCACACTAGTATGGATCCACTCTATCCATATTATAGTCGAAAGGGACTTTGAAGCATCTTGTCTTTGCTTTAATTTTGACTCTGAGGAAATTAGAGTCAGATCCATCTCACTTTCAATCTAATTTACTTATCAGTCATCCTCATAGTTGCAATTTAGGATAAAGTAATTCAACACCAAAGACGTTTAAGTGCCGCTATATGCACTTTGAGAAGGCTAAGGAAAGAACAGCGTGTATTACAAGAGGAAAATGGTGTATCTCTGGATGATGTAGCTAAAGTAATTTGAAATAGACTTGACTAAATAATTTAAAAAATTCTCAAAGATAAGCCAAAATGCAACAGAAATGGTTAGAGGAGTTGGACAATCCCAACAACGATTAACTGAACGAGTAAATGCTATGGAACTTCGTTTGGAACAGATACATAAGGGAATTGATGTATTAACTGAATTAATTATTAAAAGGAACGAAACAGCAAGTAATGAAACAAAAATAGAAAATAAAATAGAAAACGTGTAAAATTTTCTAAAATTTTCTATTTCTTCATATGATATATTTATTTATTACATGTATGTATAATTTATCAATTATTTGAAGGGAGCAAAAGATTAAAACAAAACTAGGTATGTTGATATAAATCAGATTTCGATGAGTTTAATGCATTCGACTAATCTCAAAGAGTTCTTTCGAATGATATATAATTTGCCATAAAATGTGAAAAATTTAAGGTATTCACGAAAAAATGGGTGGGAATAATCCAAATTATACCAAATAATTTTATATAGTTTATCAGAAAATTTTAAAAATATATCTCTGTGGATGGATTACATGGGATAGAGGACTATGGGATCCCTCTAAAACCACTTTATTATTTTATTAAAATGTTTTACGTGATTCAACTCACGAAACAATCAAAAAAACACAAAACGTTAAGTCGAATTTTTTTAATTTTGAAATTATAATAAAGATAAATAAGGATTTAATACAATAATTAATACAATAATTAATAATACAATAAATTACATTTATGTAAAATTATATGTATGTAAAATATAAATATGTATGTCTGTAGATACAAGTGCAATATTTCATTAACTCATATGCGTAGGCTAAGCCAAATTGACTAATTTGGCTTATTCTATGCATTTTTGGGTTATTAATTTTTATTTTTGGCTTATTATTTCTAATTTACTTGTCAATTTTGGCTTGATTTATTTCATAAATGCCCCTAGCACATGTTAACCCTCATGAGATGGGCAAAGCCATTTTAAAATATGGATATATGAGATAAGATGTTTATATATAGCCAATTAATTTTATATTTTTATTCATTTTTGGATTTTAATTAATTAATAAGTAATTTACCTCTATTGTATACACTACGCCGCATAATTGCATGAACACCTCTAAATCAACTTTTTACCGTATCTATGTAGCAGGCAAATAGAAATTTTTACCCTAAACATGTTTTAAAAACGGCTAACAACGCCTTAGAAAGCAAAATTGTAAAATTGTTTTCAGGAAAATTTTTCTAAAAATTAACATTTTTTGACCTCAACATAATTTACTGAATAAACACTTTGGGTTTAGGGAGTTCAAACGTTAGGAAAAATCTACAAATATCCAATAAAAATATTTTTAGCGTTTTTCCTCCAGCGTTTTCCGCTAAACATCAGCGCTTTATTAAAATACCTCACAAAGGAGGGTGCCTGAGGTGTCTGTGGGACTTCGAGCTGAAATTTGGCAGACAGATAGATCATACTGTACTTCTTGCGAAATTTTCACCATTTTCGCTGCGTGGTACCAGGGACCGAGTTATAAGCCCCCAAAGTTTTAGCATCCCTTGATTATAAACAATTTCTATTTAGACACAAATGTGTTCACCGGTGGTGTAGTGGTCTCTTCATAGAATTAAAATAAAGTTTTATTGTAATTTTATAGTTAAAAACTTGAATCATTCGAAATGACAAAATCCTTCAACCTTTTTCTTATTTTAACATTAGTACAAATTTTACCTTCAAATTCAAGTGGGGGTGCATCTTCAAGTTCAGGAAATGTCCAAAATCGAAAACTTCTTTTAAAATTGATTAGAGATTATGGCTATGAATCACTTGTTGGTGTTTACAAAAAGTATGAGAAATGTTTTAGAATGACGAAGGTTGTTAATCCACAAGAATATTTTATTGCTTTTGGACAGGTTTAGTTAATATAAAATTCTAATTTAATAGAAATTATAAATTGATATCACATAGATAGGATGCGAACGATTGTTATAACTTATATTTAGTGGAGCTTTTGTTATTCCTTCTGATATTCCCGACTTAAGGAAAAAAAATATAAGGCCATTCGAGGGATTCAGAGGAGTTGTGTGTACATTATTAACAGTGATGCGGTGGTTCCTGAAGTGGATCCGGTAAAGGTCTGGAATCGGTTTGGAACAGGAACCGGCAAAGGTCTGGAACCGGTTTGAAGGCTTCGGCTTTAAAATTAGCTTTTCGGAGCTTTTGATTTTTAAATAAAATAAGCTTTAGTTTCGAAACATATCTGATTTGCAAAAATTAGAAAGAGAACTTTTATTTCAAATAATTTATTTATTTAAATTGCATTTAGGTTCATACGTTCCTTAGAGAATCATTGGAAAAACAAGTAGAGAACAATCAACTAGAAGCAAATAAACTAGACGAGACAATGCATCAAATTATTAATAGCGGATCAGCGATTCATATAATCAACGAATATTGTAAAAGCCAAATGACAGAAATTTTGATTGGAATTAAAAAAAATATCCGAGTATGTTCATTTACTTTTATTTCATCAAAATTATTTTTATAAAAATCAAAAATAATAAAAAAATTTTTGAAAAATTCAAAAGAATTTCTATTCGAGGATTCAAAATTTTTTGACTAAATACATATACATAGAGGTACTTTGTTCATAACCCACACTCCATCCCTATTTAAGTCTCAGATTAGTTTTCCTTTCTTATTGTCAATCATTTATTTCCGTTAAAAATTATAAGTAAAATGCAAGTTATTAGGAAGGAAAAATAGTAGATTAATTAATAATTTTCGGATAAAAATCTGACATAAATTTAACTTTTGGCTTTTTCGGTATAGGTCTTGCGGTTTATTTTTGAATAAAGAGATTTGTTTAATACATTAATATAAATAAATTTTGAATTTACCATTAATCTCATTCAAGAACAAAATGGCAAAGATTATATTTGACGAGGCGATAAAGAAAAATCAAACATTATGTTCAATCTGTCAGGAGGATTTTGAAATAGAAGATGATATACAAATTACTGAATGTGGACATTTCTTCCATCGAGGATGTATCTCTTCATGGTTTCATTCTCGAGCTCCAAAACACAATTTATGTCCGAACTGTAATGCTAAACTGGAGATAATTATACATCCAGAGGTTGAAAAGATGGCTAAGGAAGTAGAAAGTACTAGTATTGGCGGCTTTTGGGAAACAGACTAGATGTTATAGCGAAGGATGAAGTAGGTAAAGCAATAATTCAAAGATTTTTATACCGATTTTTTATTAGTACCAAGGGGTCGGTGGAGAAAAAATCAGGGAATTTTTCGTCTTAAAAGAAAATTCTAATAAAGTGTAAAAATCTTTGACTTTATTGCGGATAAAATGCGGACTTCTGCCGCCATAAATTTTAAAAGCAAAAAAAGGAAAAAAATCAACAAAAAATCAACAAAAATCAACAAAAAATCAACAAAAGTACAAAAAAAAAAGAAAAAAATCAACAAAAGGACAAAAAAATGCAAAAAAATGTCAAAAAAACAAAAATATCTATCATTTAAAATTCCATCTATCTATTTAAAATTATGCTTTCCTATTTATTTGTAAATTTTAAATATCAATCTTTTGTATAAAATATTTCCCGGGACAAACATTTATTTATCAAGTTCATATTTTATGTTCACCACATTTAGATCCTCCTTTTTCCACATTAGATCCTCCTTTCATAATAAGTAGGGCTCGGATTTTTAGATTATAACCTATTTTTTCTGCAAAATAGTTATGATGAATTGAGCTCAAATCCGTTGGGTAATTTTCAATTTCGTTCCCCCCTCTTTTTTTCCTTCCTCAAAGTATTACACAATGGTCAGTCAATCTTAAGTTATAGAACTCGTCGAGCTGTGTCGAATGACACCAAAATCGAAAAAATCGGACTTGATTGGACCGAAATACAGACCCCGGAAAATTGAACAACCACAGGGGCGATTTTTTGAAATTAAAAAAATTTAAGCAAATGGTAGCTCATTCGAAAGAGCTCTTCGAGCTGAGTCGAAAAACATCAAAATCAACGTAATTGGACAAGATTTGGCAAAGTTACGACATTATTTAGACCTACCGGAGTCGATGATTTATGTCATATCTTTGTCAAATCAAGTCGGATCACGTCGATTTTAGTGTCATTCGACTCAGCTCGACGAGCTCTTTCGAACGAGCTATCATTTGTATACTTTTTCGTCCTTTTGGTTTTTCGCCTCCGTGGTTGTTCAATTTTCCGGGGTCTGTATTTCGGTCCAATCTAGTCCGATTTTTTCGATTTTGGTGTCATTCGACACAGCTCGACAAGTTCTATAACTTAAGATTGACTGACCATTGTGTAATACTTTGAGGAAGGAAAAAAAGAGGGGGGGAACGAAATTGAAAATTACCATCCGTTGTTATTTTTTAAAAATCTTTTGTTTACGCGGACTTTTTATCACCCATTGGGACCTATTTCGACGTTTTGAAACCTAAAATAGGTTGTAACCTATTTAGATTCCGAATTCCGACACAACTCTGATACAAACCGAAGTTTTTCGCCATATTCTGTTTTTAGAGCCGCAGAAAAAAATATTGAGAAATTCGCATTACTCTTAGTTTTTGACTAAATTTTTTTCTAGAATATTCTATTCATCGTTGAATATTTTCCACCAATTTCTTCTGAAAAAATTTTTACATCATTTTTATTCCAAAGGCAAGCAGCAAGTAAATACATAAACGACGCCTTTTTTTAAAATACCCAGCCATATGGAATTGGTTAAAAAAATATTTATAAAATTTATTTTTATTAATATGCCGCATTTTTCCGCATTTTTATGCCGCATTTTTCTCATTTGCCGCATTTTTCTATATATGCCGCATTTTTCTCATTTCTCGTGTAATTATCATTCAAACTTCTAATTATTAAAAAATTTATTTTTTAGATTTGATTAATGTCGAAAATTCATAAAAATACAATAAACTATTATGGAAAGAGAATGAGAGACTCTAAAAAGATGATGAAAGACCCTTCTAAAAATGAAATAAATATCACCCCTAAAAAAGAAATATATCTTCCTGCTGAAGTAAAACTAGACATTCTTAAATTTCTAAACTTTAATCAACTATTATCTGTCCAACAAACAAATTATCACTTTTATTGTTTAATTAGACAAAATGTGAGAATATTAGCTTGCAGAGGAATAAATTCAATACATACTGTTATTAGGGTTCTTTTTTTTAAAATCCTAATAGAATTACATGTGTACAAATTTTAAAGGATCTTCATGAGCAAATTGAAAATACTATAGTAGATATAAAATTTGGAATTTTTAAATTTCCATTAGATGATCGACTTTTAAAAAAGGTTAATTGTTGATCTGTATAGATTTAAAAAAATTTTTTAAGTGGAAGTCTGCCGTAAATAGACAAATCCCAACTTTTTTAAATACATGCGATAATCCTCCAAGCAAAAAAATAATATGTTTAAGTGTGAATCTAGGACTTTTGGATGATTACAGAAAGCGGAGTAAAGGTTGTATCATATGCCTTAAAAATTTTTGAAGATTTTTGAAAAGCTAAAAATCTTTCTCTTTCTAGGCCAAAAAATCTAATTCTTTAAAAAATTTAAAACACGAATTTCGAAAGCATATCGAAACAGCTTTGTACGTTCCAAATCAAAATTCTAAAATTTCAGATTATTTTTTGAAATTGCCTGTCCATCCAAAAAATATTAAAGAAATGAAGATTGTTCGTTGTTGGTTGGAAAAATTATTTCTTTGTTATTTTAATGATATAAGATTCGAAAAAGGTTTTTTCAATCCAGAAATGATTGAATTACTTTTTAAAAATGAAGAAAATATTCCTCTTCAATTTCGCTCAAAATATGCCTTATTAACCTATTGCAACCGTAATATCAACAATGTATTAAGATTTAGCCTGGACCATTTAATTATTAATCGCACCTTGAGAATAGATTTGGCATCATTCGGCAAAAAACAAATCTGCATTAATAACTTAATTAAATTGATATTTAATGGAGGCAGAAATATTAATAGTATTTGGATTCGAATTTTAATGGAATTACCATTGGGCGATTTTATTATAAAAGTAAGTTATTTTGAAAAATTATATTAATATACAGTATACAAGTTTTTAATATGGGGAGGGCATTGTATTAGCATAATACTGTAAATGGTTGAAAAAAATAGAAAATTAATCTGAGCTCAACTAAGGAGTGTGAGGTACACCGATTTACAATACATGTTCAATATCTTAAAAAGGCTCCTTTTTATCCTATTACACTAAGTCCTAAATAATATTTTTTATACGAATACCTAAAAACATTTTCAAACATTTAGCATATCGAAACAGCAAAAAATTGTTCATATATGATACCGCTTATCGATGTTGATCTTATCCCTAATCGTATCAATAATTTGATTCATATCGTTAAAGATAAAATAAAATACATTACAAACATTTATCATCCAAAAGTAATATTCAAAATTTTTGCCGATGATATTATTTTGAGAATCGAAAGAAAGTCTATCTCATAAATACCGTATCATTTATCATTTGTATATTTTAAATTTAACTGTTAAAATAAATTATTTTTGTTTGACAAAGTTTTTGACTGAAAACTCAATAGAAATTCTGAGTAAAATTTTTCCGTTTCAGACCGAACCGGAGAACAAGAGTACTTTGTATCCCTCACGGTTTTCGAAAACTTAGCCCGAAAATTCCTGCACACGATAGCTTGAAAAAACTGGGTATTGGGCCCGGAATATGAAGTTTGAATGAATGAATGCGCCCATATATTCAATCGGGTCAAATATCCTTTCCTGAATATTATTGATCTGTTTTAAGCAATTCAATGCCTTTTTATCGCATTCATTAAAACTCCTTCAGGTTGTCAAGAATCCTTTCAATTAACGAGTGCCTCCGTTTATGGGCTATCACCGTTTTCAATCACCGGTTTTAGATTTTCTCGTTAACTTGTCTCTCTCGCTCTAATTATAATTATATTATTGGCAAAAATTTTTGAATTTTTTTGCCAAAATTTAAATGTTTTTAGAAAATTTTAACAACCAAAAACCGAAAATTTGTGGAACTGAGTGATTTTATGAAAAATTCCCCCAAGATAAAATCGGTATTAGCCTAAAACTCAAAACCGAAAACAGAGTTTTTCGAATTTAGATTAACAACCCTAATAATACCTATCATCTCCTTTTATTCATTTTCGGAATCAATTGAAAAACTTTAAATAAACATAATTTTTTATCTCATAGTTAAGTATCTTACTTTGCCTCAACAAAGTTGAGAACTCGACAGACTTCCTAGTCAGATTCACCCCGCTGGGAATGAGGAACCATTTTTAATCACTCATTTATCCTCTTTCCGTTATCTAAATTAACAATTTTATCTTTTTCCCTTAATAAAGTGCAGTAAATAAATATTTTGTAATAAATGTTTGTTGGATATCTTTTATTATTTCCGTCGGAAAAAATTATAACGCAGCTGTGTCGCGTCGCTTTTGAAATTTTTCAATTCACATGTTTAGCAACTTTATTTATTTACAAAATTTTAAAATAAAATTTTGATTTCACAAGGGGGATTAATTTAACTTATTCAGTCTATTTTTTGCGTCTCTTGTTTTTTGCGTTGTGTTTACCCCTTGTATTGGGTTTTTGCAATTTTCTATTGCGCCTACCCCTAGTTCCTACAAAGTTAGCTTGCATCTCTTATTTTCAAACAAAGGAAAATTCACGATGAAGTTTCTATTGTCTAAATCAAATATATCGGGAATAACACGTTAAACATTCTCAGTCTTCTTAAACACCTTATATGATCCTGATAGTTTTGACAGAAGGGTTAGTTTCCCCAATGGTAGGGTTGGAGTTTTCGAACCGGGCCGACGTTCGAGTCATATTTCCAGGCCTCATTTTTATCGATACCGGGCCGTTCGCTTCTTTTTCGGGCCAAAATTCGGGGTTTCAAAAAGGAGTTCAGGTAAAGTGATTCGAGGCCCGGAACGATCTTACAACCCGAACCGGGCCTCCAACCCTAAACAAATGACTAAAGTTACTGTATCAATTCGAATTTCAGAAACACGATTAACTTCCAAATATTTAATTTACAGGCTTGTTGCCAAAAACATTGTTAGTTTTCATTAGACTTTATTATTAGACTCTTAATTCTTATTAGACTCTCAATTTCTCAATCACTTATAGGCAAGCGTTTAATTGAGTGAAGCATTGCCTTTATTTGCCTCCTCTTCCTCCTATCAATAACACGTGAAATTGATAAATTTTAAAATTTAGACAATGGGTAGGGGAGGATGTAAAGAGGATGCTTTAGAGAGGAGATGCTTTAGAGGGGATGCTTTAGAGGGGATGCTTTAAAGGGAATGCTTAGAGAGGAGATGCTTTAGAGAGGATGAGAGAGACGATGCCTTAGAGAGGATGTCTTTACATTTAAAGAAATTTTTTTATTTATTATTCTTGTCTGGCATTTAATTTAAAATTTTTATTAAGAATTTATTAAATAAAAATTAAAAATTAGAGTTTAGGAACTTTTCTCTAAAGCAGGCGATAACTAAATTGAAGTAATAACAGACTGTGTTCATTCCAGGGATGGGCCTGGTTGAGAAAAAAGTCGAATCGGGTTTTCAAAATTTTCCTCGGATCAAAATAAAAGTCCGGGATTTGGGTAACCCATACCAACCTGAGTCCATTCCTGTTTGATAGACTTACTAAAATAAAAATAATTTTTTAGAGAAATGAATTTTATTTTGTTTCTTCAATTTATTCTTTTAAAAATTCTAATTTTTGATTTTGTAAATTCTGTGAAAGAAAATGGGAAAAATATTCAAAGAAAAAAACATGTTACTAAAATTCATAAAGTTAAAGACGATTATGTATATAAAATCCGCGATGATGAACGCGAAGGTTATATGAAACAGCATAATATTAGCGGTAATTTGAATTAAATAATTAATTAATTTATTAATAAACACATAGTTATTGCCAATCCGATTGACGAACTTCCTAAAAAAGGAATTTATTTTTAAATCGGTTAGACCATGATCGAAAAATAGTCCGGAGCTGTTATAGCTATTTATCCTTCTGCTAACGCAAAAGGTTATGTGACAAAAATTTATTTGGCTAGATCCGGATTTGACATATCCGCCCATATCCTTTTTATCCGCGTATATCTCATAAATTTTGAATTTTTTGAAAAACACTGAAAAATGTCAAAATAGATTCAAAAAATATCATAAGAGACAAATAAATGGCTTTATTTTATAATTATTTTTAGGTTCGTCTATTAATTTGATTTTATTTAAGAAGGTCCAGCGATTGATCTTCTTACTCAGTTAAAGCATATGAAAGAAAAGGGAGTGAAAAATTTTAACGAAATTCCTTCAAACACTCAAGTTTATGATGCAGTTTCTCCGCCACAAAATTCTGGCCTTTACTCAAGCCCAGCATCGAGCAATAATCCCCAACAAAATTTGAGCAATCCACCCAACCAATTTACATATAATTTGAGTCATATCAACCATCCAAGTCATCAGCAAGGAAGCTCTGGATTTATAAATACCGGTATATTATAAAATAGATTTCCGTTCCTTTCCCTAGTGTGTAGGAAAAATTCTAAATTGACACTTCTTGAAAATATCCATAATGTTGGAATAAATCAAACGATATCTCGCGTGGATCTCAAGTAAAAGGTCAGATGTGTCAGGTGTATAGGTCATGTTAAATGGTCAGATGGATGTCATGTGTAGATAGATTAAGCCACGATAAGTCACATGGATCTCAGGAGTGGAATAAGTCAGGCAGATGTCAGGTGGATAAGTTAAATCGATGTCAGGAGGTGAATAAGTCAGGTGATGTCAAATGGATAAGTCAGGAGGGATTAAACTTATGGATAGTTTATTTCACAAATAATTTTAGCTTTACTCAACACTATTGATGCCAATGAACATCAAAAATCACTCAAAAGTAAATCCGACATCTCAGGATTTGAAACACAGTTTAAAGGAAAATATTTGGGAAATAAATGGGAAAATAAATGGGACGCTAAATTAAAAGCTCTCAATGATTCTGAAGACGAACGAAAAAAAGCAATTGAGAAATATGTTAGTATTAAACTTATTGCGTACGGCTGGTCACAACAGGTCCACTGACAGTAAATTATGCTGGACAAATATTTTTCGCAGAGTTATATTCCGGTCAAAAGCCAAGCAGAGTTATGCTTGCATTTAAAATACTGTAGTAGTGCAGGACTTAATATTTTCGGATTCTAATTCAACTCAAATTAGAGGTCGGCAAAATCGCACTTTCGGGATCCCGCTTCGGGATTTTGGGTATGGATATGTCACCTTTATGGATATGTCACCCCCCCCCCTCCTATTTTGAGTCTCAGAGTTTTCCTTAAACGTAGAAAATGGTCAGAGATTATGTATTTTCTTCTCCATGTCAATCATTTTTCTTTCTTCTTCAATTATTTTGCTTGTTTATTTTGCCTTTTCACATATTTTGTACTTACATTTCACTCATTTCGTTTCTACATTTGCCACATTTCATTTATTTTGCTTGAAGAAAGAAAAATGATTGGCATGGAGAAGAAAATAATCTCTGACCATTTTCTTCGTTTAAGGAAAACTCTGAGACTCAAAATAGGAGGGGGGTGACATATCCATAAAGTACCGGATTTTGTTTTTTAACCGATGCCGGGACGGGATCCCGAGGGATAAATCCAGAAAAAATCCCGGATCCCGAATGATCCCGAAAATCAAAAAAATCCGGGATTTCGGGAGCGGGATCCCGGAAAATCCCGTCGGGATCCCGTCCCGCGCCGACCTCTAACTCAAATATCATATAGGCCGAAATATTCCTCGGAAGACATAAATGCCCATTAATGAAAACATAATACTTTGTAGGGTTGGACACAACCGGTTATTAACCAATACCCCCCGACAATAAATATAATATTCGGTTTTACATCTTGACTAACTCTAATAAATTATTCAAAGTCACAATACATCGGCAATGTTCATGACACTCTACTTGGTAATGACAACTATAATGACAATGTTTTTAACAATCCCCATCTTGATAAAATGCAAAAAAGTTTGGAAAATGTTGTATCAGGAAGTTCTCAACACCAAACTCCACCTGCACAGAATTTTAACAAAAATCACGAACACGCCTCCGAGATTGATGCTGATGATTACGTAGACTTGGGTTCTAATTCTGAAAACTAAGTTAGTTTGTTCGAATTTTCAGATATAATTGTAATAATTTTCGAATTAAGTGTTAAATTTAAACAATTTTTAAACCAAATTTGGAAGAGTGCTCGATAGTTGTTATATAGATAATCAAAATAAAAACGGGATATAAGGGGTTTACTTGTTCAACAACCCCCCCCCCCCCATAATTCCTGTTGGATAATTTTACCCTTAAAAATTATGTGTTTCTTAATTACGGTCTTGTAGCTTTTCGATATGAAAAATTTTTCAAAAATTTTTTTCCATTTTTCAACTTACTCGAACTAAACAATTTATTAGTAAATTAATTTTTAGACTAACATACTGCAACGCATGATTGACTGAACGGGGTTGGACTGATCGAATGTACATATTAGAGTATGCAAAAATGTTTTATTATACAGATACGTCCACTTTTCCGCCCCCTTTTTTTGCCAAAAATATTTTTCATGAATAAGTTTTACTTTGCCATAAATTGTTAAAATTCATCCAATCCTACTTTTATTGTGCCGATCAACTCGTCTCTATGAGTTCATGAACAAATCCATGCTCATGAACAAGCTCATGAACAAAATAATTTTTGATCATTTTTGCCGTCATTTCTAATCGGCTAGAAGAGCTTATTCGAATAAACATCTGAATAAGCTCCAATGTTTATATCATTCAGACAAATAGCCTTAGTAAAGCAGCTGGGCTATAGCTATCTCTTTCTTTTAGCTAGTGCAAAAGTTTATTCGGCAGCTGGGTGCGCACCAGGATCTTCCGTAGACCGGACTTAGACATTACACCACGCCGCCTAATGCACAGCCTTAGGAAGTAAATAGCTATATGCCTTACACCTCTGAATCAAACAATTTTTCTTATCCAAAAGGATTTGCCGGGCCTTTAAGAGAAACTATTTAAATAAATTTATGCTTTAAAGCCAAATTTCGTACCATAAAATTTATTAGTGTGTGAATATATTATAAAAGATTTATCAATTTTTGTTGAGTTTGAAGCGAGATATGGCCAAAACAATAGGGACGGAAAAGTTGCCGCATCCTGAATAAACCAGCGTAAAAATGTCAAAAGCCAATTTTACAATCTGCGCAGATTTAATGCAGATTGTATCCGACACATTTTATCAGTAAATTATGTATTTTATTTATTTTATTTCATATTCTGCAGTATAAAATTTAAATTCATTTTATGAAAAATATGGACTTAAAGATTTTTATAGCGGAGTTTTTGCATTTAAATTCCATACTTTTTTTTATTTTATATTTGAAATTAAATGCGCCATGCGATTAACAATTTAAAATTTAGAATAGATGCCTTCCGGTTCCGGTCCTTAAACCGAAACACAAGCTTAGGCTTAAAAAATTGCTTCGTTCCGTTGCAAAATCACAGGTGTTTCGTAACGAAACAATACTCAAAAAACCCCACGAAACATACAAATGAAACTTTTCGCCCGCGTATGATCGGGAAGGTTGAATAATAATGGTTGAGGTTGAATGAATTAAAAAAATTTTTCTTCTTGTTTTAAGACTTGTCTACATTATTTCGATATAATTTTGTTGTCGTAGAACTAGAAGAAAAACTTTTTTAATTCATTCAACTTCAACAATCATTATTCAACCTCCCGATCCTAAATGAATTTTTAAGCAAATAAAACATATTGTGTAGAATTTAATTGTAAATCAAATACAATTAAATACAAATATGTCCGTTTACATTTGTGGTTAAGTTGGTAGTGTTCTTGTCTGTTTTATATTCCTTCTCAATGAGGAGCATCATACCACTTTTGATTAATTGCTGATATAAATTACTGTATTAGCTCTATCTGAGAGAAGGCTTTTTTTTGCTTTTATTTTTAAAAATCTAATTAGATTTTTAAGAAGAAAAAGAATACTAGGATTTTTTGAAAATTTTAGATTCTATTGGGGTATAGAAATATATAAGTCTCAACATCAATCAAGTCGGATCATACCAGCCCGGCTACTCATCTCTAATGCTCGGGTTTATATTTAAATAAATCACTGAAGCAGCCCTGCTCTCGAACTGACCACGGTCTTGTTGTGTTCGCAGTTACGGAATGAATATAAATGAAAATAAATAACCCAGCATTGGGTTAGATGGTGCAAAAGAAAGCGGTTCCAGAACCGGAACCGGGCAAAATTAAAAAAGCGGAATTTTTTTTGGAATTTCCGCATCACTGCAGTCAAGGCTTGTTCATGACCAACGTCAACCTTGGTAAATCTAACAAATAAGAGAAATAATAGACATAAAATAATCTCATATATTTTTTATTTTTTTAATCTTTAAACTCAATTACAAATTAATAAATCAAAAATATGTATTTACACAAATCAAAATAAATAAATATAGTAAATCTTTCTTCAAAAAAATATTTTTAAGTGATGAGCATCTTTTTTTTATTTTCCTTTAAAACATCTGGGCATTTATATATCTGTTGTTTTATTTTTTAAAATATTTTTAAAGCCTTTAAACTTCTACTTTCAATAAAGTTGTAGTTTCGTATGGAGGTAGGGGTTGCTGTTGAATTAATTTTTCTTCTTTTTTCTTTTTATTTTCTTCCTCAACTTCATCCTCTTCCTTCTGCCACCATTCAATATAATCAAAAAATGAATGGAATGAATCTATTCCCAATAAGAAGGAACCATTCTCGATTTTTTGTATAATTCCTCGAAATCGTGGGGAAACGTATTCCCATTTTGGAGAATTTTTTTCTGTTGATTTTGAAGTATTGGATTGTGTTGATGCTGTTCTAGACCAAGGATTTCTAATTTTTATTAAATAATTGTTCCTCCGTCGATCCTTAAAATTTTCAGATTATTTTAAAAATAGGCGTAGGAATGGATATTAAGAGGAACAGGATCTGGTTCCATTCTCCTGAACGGGTCCTGGTCATCTTTAGAAGAGGAAAATTGAAAATTGAATTCTCGATTATTCATGTCCCACCTGGTTTCTTCAATTTCCTGCTCTACTTTTCCCTAACAATGTTTATTAAAATCCCGATATCTGCAAATTAGGAAGAAACCTTTATTATACCCAGATTTCATTCCTAAAGAGAGCCTATAAGGAGACGAACCATAGTGTTCAGTTTTTTCCTCCACAATGATACCGGAAGTTTTTGGAATTTTCGTTACCGGTAATATTGGTACAGAAAATAACCATTTGTCTAGAGAGAGAGAGTTGAGACTAGAGAGAGACTTTGAGACTAGCCTAAACCTTATATTAAAAATCAACTACATACTTCAATAAAGTCAAGAATTGTGAATGAACGCATGGCTAAAACACCTCTTCCTGTATGGCCCTTCTTTTCAATAAATCCATTCTATTAAAAAAATCAAAATTATAATTTTTCAAGACTTTAAATTACCGTTACTGTACAACAAAATCTACACAATCTAATGTCTGTTATTCTTGTAGAAAATAGGCGAATTAATTGAGATCGAGTAATATCTCTTAACATGTATAATCTTATAGTGCCTGGGCCAGTTAGAAGCCTCAAGGCTCGATAGAAATGATTTGTATTTTCTAATGCAGCATAGGAACCATATAATCTTTAAAAATTAAAAATTATATAAAAAGTGAAATTTGCGGACAAATTTTGCGGAAACTAATTAATTTAAAAGTTAATTTTGCGACCTTTAAGGACCCGAATATTGAGGATAAATTGATGTAGATTAAGCATAGTGTTATTCTAAATATCCCAAAAACCGGGTTCTCAAAAATGTCGGGTAGCCTTTTAAAATAAGGCTGAATCCAGCTATAATCGTATATCAAGGAATGGATTAAGTGGAATATAAGCTTCAGTTTTATATCCAGTTAAATTTCGGAGGAGAACATACGATAGGGAATGTACGGTTAGTTCGTTGAAGCCTAAAAATACCAAAAAGTTGGAGTACATTTTACAGAATCAAAATTTCCGGAGGATATCAGTTACACACGTAAATCTGACCCTGATCCGAACGATTTTTCCGGATTCAGTGGTATTTATTCCAATTTTAATATACGAAAATAGTCCCATAATTAATTAAATTTACTTTGCAAATGCTTTTTCTAATAAAGCAGCCCAAAATGTTAATCCATCAGATGAATGCATAAATAAAAGTTGGCAATTTTTTGTGGGTAAAAGATCATCAACAATCACTTCCCTTGTAGTTTCTTTGATAGTAAAATTGAAGGCGAATTTTCCTAAAAATAATTTAGAGAAATATCTTTCTATTAAAAATTTTCCAGTAATTTTTTTTCCAAGTAATCAAATTATAAATTTTGGGAACGTGAATGACTCTCCTATCAAATAAGAATATACTAAGGAATTATTTTAACTTAAATTTGAAAAATCACTGATTAAAGTTGCCATAAACAATTTTGATAAAGCTGAAGTTCCTGTTTATTTTTCTCTCAAAAGCAAGGGGTATTTAACAGAGGGCATACTGTAATTCGATAAACGAGAGAATTTACAGCCAATATAGCTATTTTGACCTCATACCAAGGGAGACCAAATACTTAGTCTTTAGAGACTAAGTATTTGGTCGAATAATTATTTTAAATTGCCTGAGGCTAAATTGACCCAAAAAATTTTTTTAAATGTCGAAAACCTGTATAATTTTCAGAATTTAATTTATTATTTAAAGTTGGGTCAATAACAGCATTAAAATGTTCTTCTGATTGGATCAGCGCTAAAAACGCGGCCGCCAACCAACAATCGCGTAATTGGCCTTGGACTATATCTTTTAATTGAAAGGCTGAATTGTCTGTCTGGTTACGAATAAAACAGGCATTACTATTAATTTCCTTTAAAAAATTGTATTTTTTGAAATTTTAAAGGTAAAATTAATTATTTACCCAAGGACGTTTCCATATTATTCCTTTAGGAGAGGGTAGATCTGACTCCCTCTCCTCGCAATATATGCTCTGCCAGATTGCAGGAAATTCTATTTTTTAAAGAAGAAAATTTGATTTTTAATTGAATATTGAAAAATATTTTGATTTTTTAAAATGGAAAAATAAAAATCCGCAAATATTTTGCGGATTTTATTTGCGGACTTTTTCTCCAGTAAATAAATTTTTCTTCAATAATTATTGAGATGAAAATATTCCATAATATTTTAAAAATAAATATTTTTTGAGAGATGAGACAATCCGCAAAAATAAAAAAAATCCGTAAAATTTGAAAAAACTAAAAAATAAAAATACACCTAATGAAAAAATTACGTGAACGGAAAAATTTAAAAAGTCCGCAAAATAAAAAAGAAATTTGCAAAATTTTAAAAAATCCGCAAAAACTCCAATGTAATAAAAATATCTTTAAAAATCTCATTTCAAAAATTATATTAATAAATAAAAAAATTTTAAAAATTTTTTTGAAATCACCTGGATCTTCAAAAAGTATTTGTTGTTTAGATTGAGTATCCGGGTTCATTTTTGTTACTAAACAAAAATTCTTTTCAAAATTATTTTTTCAAAAAAATTAAATTATTTTAGAATTTTAGTTAAATATTTTTTTAGAGTTAAAAAAAACTTTTTTTTATAATGAAATAAATATTACAAAATCCAATAAATAAATTACAAAATCCATACTTTTCCCCCCAATTTATTTATTTGCTTATTCATTTGCTCCCACCCCCCCCCTAAAGATGAGATTACTCACCTTTTTGTTGTTCAATTAAATTTTCTTTCGCCGTGCTAGGCATTTTATTATTAAAATTATTATTATTATTGACTTTATTTGTAGTTTTATTAAATGTAGTAGCTATAACTGTTCCCCAACTTTTTTGTGTTTGTATTAAGCCTTTATTTGTTCGCCTCGAAAATAGGCGGTGGTAGGAAGCAAAAAAGAGAAAAATCAAAGAAACGACAACAATGTCCAAAAAGAGCGCAATCATAATATTTTTATTTTATTTTATATTTTGCCCCGTCTATAAAAATTTTTGAGGGAGCTTATTTCGTAAAAGATGAAAAAATGTATGTGAGGAAATGTTAAAAGAGGGAGGGAGAGGAGGTTGTTGGGGTGACTCAACTTGGAAAAAAATATATAGAAAAATATATAATTTATGTGAAAAAATGTGAGGGGAGAGGGATTGAGGGGGAACCGAGGAACTGAGGGAAGAATTGAGGAAAATAAGGGGAGACTGAGGAAAATAAGCGGGGAACTGAGGGAGAATTGAAGGGAGAAATTGAGGAAAATGAGAGAGAACCAAGGGAATAAGGGGAAATTGAGTAAGGAACTGGGGGAGGAACTGACGGAGGAATTGTGGAAAATGAGGGAGGAATTGAGGAAAATAACTGAGGAACCAAGGAAAAAATTTTCTTCTGTTTTTTGTAACGACGGCAATGTGGCTTTTTACCTTATTTTTTTTACAATTTTTGAGGGAAGGGAAGAATTTGAAGAGGAAGAAGGGAGGAAGAATTTAGTGTAAAGGTAGGGAAAATAGTTGAATAAGATGAATAAAATAAGACGCCAAAGCAGCAGGAGGCATTTCTCTCAACCCCAAAAACTATTTTTGCTAATAGGAAAAGTATAGGGGTTTAGAACGGCAAGAGAAAATTTTTTTGAAAAAAATATATTATTGGAATTAGCTTGGAAAAGAGCAAAAACAAGAAGAATTTAATTTGTAAAAATTCAAAGATCAAAATAAATTTAAAAAATGTTTAAAGCATGGAAAAATGATTCATCAATCATTTTTGTATTTTTCTGCTATTTGTTTGATTCTGTCATTGAAAAAATGTTCAAAAGCAAAATGGGAGGGTAATTATTTTACACAGGGTAATTATTTTTCCGACCTAATGAAGGAGGGAGTCTTGAAGCTTCGAGTTTCAATTTAATTATATTCGAGTTAAATCTTATCAAAGAAAATTTCTAAAATAGTTGGATCCGATTCTATAATTTTCTATAATTTTCCGGATTTCTATAATTTTCGTGATAGATATATTTTACTGATCCTCAACTCTAATCCGAAGCTGGAAATTTTTTTGAAAGTCTTCCACCCCTCCAAAAATTGTCTGAAAAAATTTTTGTCTTAAATTTTGAATCTCTCTCCCTTGTAAATCAAGATTTGTAAAATTAAATTAAAAATATTCTCATGTTTTGATCAAGAGATAATTAAAAGACTTTTGACTAATTTTAAAAATATTAGGACATAATTTAAAATTTAAATTTAAAAAAAGCCTTAAAAATATTTAAAAAAGCGTTCTGAATAGATTAATTATTTTATACATATTGATGAGAAGCATATGTCAAAAATAAATCTTCCTAATGAGCAAGCAGGAGAGTCGCCACTATTCACTCGATAAATATTTGTGAGGGCTTTCAGTAAGCAAAAACAAGAAAAATATTAATGTGCAAGAGAGTAGAAGAATTTAGTGTAAATAAAAAGTAAAAAAATATTTTAAAGAGCAAACAGCACTGACCATTTGTAGGGAGGTATGGGGGGGTATTCAATACAGAAAAAACATCAAAAAGAAATAATTATAAAACTTTTTTAGAGCTTAGGTAAGTAAAAAACAATGAGTAACTACTAGAGATCGAGCTGGACCTTTACAAAGGCCTGGGTTTTTCCTGTACCCAGAGTCCAGGTCCAGGCATTTTTCGACCTTCCTGGGTTTTCCTGAGCCTGCGTTTTTTCCTGGACTACTCCCAGGATCCAGTACAGGGCAAGAAATCAAACTCCAGAGTCCGGGAACAGGTCCAGGCTTTTCAAAAATCTCGATCTCTAGTAACTACATATGTAAAATAACCATGGATCTAGTCGTCCCGATTATTGAAAATCAGTAATTCTGTCATTATAAGGCACAAGATGGGCCAAAAGGAGTTGGGAGGCTTACGAGGAGATCAGACTATATTAACTTTAATGATGAACGATTTTAATTAATTTGCTAATTGATGAAAATAAAATAATTAAAAGCAATTGAAAGTCTTTAAGATGAATAAAATTATAAAAAAAGTTTAAAGTGGATAAAGTGGACGAAAAAGATGAGCAAGTATGTAAACAACGAATAAAATGATGAAAAATTCGATAAAAAGTAAATAAAGCGTTAAATACTAAGAAAAAAATTAAATAAAAATGAAAATGTAAAAAAAATTATTTGCGGATTGTCCGCAAAATATTTGCGGATAAAATTGTAATCGTTTGGAATTGAGACGAATGGCCCCCGGATTATCTTCAGTGCCGTTTCATTATCATTTTTGAGTGTATAGATTGGTATTTATGGGTTATCACAAATAAGGGCGGACTAATAATGATAACGGTCTCATAATTAGGGTTGCCGTTTTCGAGTCGGGCCGACGGTCGAGGCATTTTTTTTCGGGCTTGTTTTTATCGAGTCGGGCCGTTACGAGACTTTTTCGGGCCTAACTTTATCGAGTCGGGCTGTAACGAGTCACTTTCGGGCCTGACTTTATCGAGTCGGGCACCGAGACATTTTCGAGTCATTTTTTAAAAGATTTATTTAAAAATAATTAGTGGATTTGGAGGGAAATCTGAGAATTAATTGTATATTGATGGATCTGGAGGGTAAAGGTTTGGCTGAAGAGAAATGAGATGGATATCAGTGGATATCCAAATCCCTTAATAAAATCCCACTGTATTCTGAAATCCCTAGTATCCTTGTTAATGCACTAAATCCATCATAATTTCTGCTAAAGCTTTATCACTGCAATGACAGTAAAAAAGAAGAAATCAGGCCCGTAGGTCTTCCAAAAGTCTTAAACTTTCTGACTCCGGCGGTAAAAAAGGATGAAATTACTTATATACATCCAAATCACTGGTGCCATTTAAATCTACACTTAATCCCTCACACCAGGCCCGTAGCCAGGATTTTTTTATCGGGGGAGGGGCAATGGGGAAATTTTTCTGCGCCAAATTTATGGCGCTGAAGGCGCCAAAAATTTCAATTTTTAGCGCCGCAGGCGAAAATTTTTAGAAGGCCGTAGGCCAAAAAATTCACTTTTTTCCCCAAACCCTTCCCCAAATTTTTCCCTTTCCCCACTTCGGGGGGGGGGGGGTCGGAGGGAATTCCCCCCTACCTCCTGGCTACGGGCCTGCCTCAAATCACCTTATATCCCCAGATTACCTCTTATATCCAAATGGTGGAATAGTGGACTGCGGATTGCGTAAGATTGCATGTTTTTTTACTTGTAGACTGAAGATTGCGATTGCGGATTTTAATGTTAGAATTGCTAACTGCGGAAAATTGCGGACTCTCAAAACTGATTGAGTTTCAAAAGTTCAAATGGGACGGGTCCCGCGGGATATATCCCGTAAATCCCAATAATCCAGCTTTCCACTTAAAGTCAGTAAGTTCGAGATGTGAAGCAAATCTATTCTTGTGTTATTACGTTAGTCACTAGGTAAGACCGATACCATAGGACATAACACTAACAAATAAGGACCAGATTTCTTCCTTTTTCAGCGCCGCAGGCGAAAATTTTTCGAATTTTAGAAGGCCAAAGAGGCTGATTTCTCCCATTTTTGTCCATCGAGTCTTGTTCGAGTCGGGCCGACTTTTTCCGAGACAATTTTTTTCGGGCTTGTTTTTATCGAGTCGGGCCGGTACGAGTCTTTTTCGGGCCTAAATTTATCGAGTCGGGCCGGTACGAGTCTTTTTCGGGCCAAACATCGAGGCTTGACTCGATCTTTCGGTCCGAGTCGGTCCATTTTGGCAACCCTAGTCATAATGGTCAGGGATTCAATAATTATCCTTTCTCTATTCGATAAACTTTTTGCGGATATTTGAGGGAAATATCGTGGGTTGCGATGATGCCCGAAAATTGATTTGGGATACCCCAAAGTACCTAAATATCCTTGATTTATTTCACAATAAAGAAAGCTTGAGGTATCAACAAATGTCAGTCTTTAAATAAGGAAGCGAAAACGGTTTATGTTAAAAACATAAAATAATTATTTGTGTTAATATTAAGCTTATACGTGTACATTAAACATATTCCAGTTTAACTGTAATTTTTTATTATTTTTGCATGTAGATAATAAATAAAGATAAAATTTAATTTAAAAAACTGTCAGTAAAGTAAGTTTTTTTTTTAAAAAATACTAAAACATCTGGGAAAGCTTAAATATAAGTTTAATTGAAGAATTTGTTTTATTACAAAAAAATTTTTTAAACAATATGTATACAGGAAAAATGATAATTTATTCATCAAAATTGAAGAATTTGCTTCATTTTAACAAAATTTAAAACGTAAAAAACGTCAGTCCGCACTTCTTCGACATTTCAATGAATGTCGAAAATTTTTTTTACATATTTATGAAATATATTTCTTTAATTTTGTGATGCAAATCGATCTAAAATCTTCCGAAAAACACCATTTTTGTATTGTAAATGTTTGTGAATGCATAACTTATTAATTTCTGTTCTATGACGATTCTTAATAGTATATTTAAGAGGCCACCATAATCCAAAACAAATTTCTGAGATCGTGTTTGAACCAAACGTTGAAGTTTCAATTTCCTAAATTTTTGAAATTATTCTTTTTTAAATGTATGTTTGAAGAGTATTTGGTCGTGGAAACTCCAAAAAATTTTTGTGGAGAGACATTTTAGGATTACACCCGTGGAAAAAAGTATGGAAGCGCTAGAAAAATTTTATTTAATTATTAATTTTTCATTCAAAAAATACGTTCTATATAGCAATCGAAAGCTCTATTCGTATCTCAATTGACATGTTTCTGCATTTTTCATGAAAATGAAAATTCGCCGATATAATCCGGATCTACCGGATATACCAAATCCCATTTTTTCGGAAAAATTTTTCGGAAAAAATTTAACAAACCCAGTTGATAAAGCATATTTTTCTGAGTATTTTACACAAAACCGCTTAAAAATATCTTTTTCCGGTCCAGAGATATGATTTTTTGAAAATCCACGGGTGTAATTTTGGTGGATAAATTGAAAGAAAATCTTAGATTGAAACCATGTGATTTCTTAAAGCTTACTGTAGGGTATGTAAAAGAACTGAATATTTTAGAGAAAAATATTGGAATTTCTCATAACCGGTCAGATATATACAAATAAAATCATTTCTAAAGACACCTTTATAACCGCATCGAACAAAGTTTTTAGAACACCATGTCTTACATAATTTATTTCTCCAACCCAAATTTCATCAATATTTTTGTTGCCATTGAATAATAATTTTAATAGGTGCTCGTTGCCATTTTCTTGTTCGTTGAATGATTCAAGTTTTATTTTAAGGTATTGAGTAATAATTAAATGATCCGAATTAAATTTTAATAAATTTTCGATATTATGCTTGCAAAAAGTTAATGTACACTCGTCTGCACGAAATTGAGTCGGAATATTTTCTTCATTTTCAAAAAGTATTTTAATCATTTCTGGGTTAATAATATAATCTTTAAAATCAGCATCATTAAAATAACAAAGAAATAATTTTTCCAACCAACATCGGACAATCTTCATTTCTTCAATATTTTTTGGAAAGACAGGCAATTTGAGAATATGATAATCTGAAATTTTAACAACTTAATTATATAGATCATCCATTAAGATAGGCTGATCCGGTTCAGGAGACAACCGAATTACTATAGGAGGACGGTCGCTGCATTACGCGGCATTAATTTTGACAAAACTATACAGGGCGATCTACCGTATTTCCTCTAAAATAGCCCCCCTCTAGAGGTCGATCGAAAAAAATAGCCCCTCCCTCTAAAATAGCCCCCCTCTAGAGGTCGATCGAAAAAAATAGCCCCTGGGGGCTATTTTATATATGGTTTTGATATAAAGGGTAATTCCATTTTATTATAAGATAAACCTTTATCCCAGTAACTGTAATATTTTGTAAGTTTTTCCACTACTATACATATTTTGTTGTTTGGAGGAGTATCGCAAGTGCTTAAATAAACAGGGATTTGTCTATCTACAGCAGATTGCCACTTAAAAAAGAAATTTTTTTAGATCTTCACAGACTTGTAGATGTCAAAAATTTCACCTTTTTCATAAGTTGATCATCTAATGGAATATTAAATATTCCAGACTCTATCTTCAAAATATCATATTTGTATTTTTCAACAAGCTCGTCTAAATGATCCTAAAATTCTCATTGTGCAAAAATATTAAAAATAAATTAAACCCCAAAAATTTCTACTGAATATACTCTTTTGCATGATAATATTCTCTCATTCTGTCTAATCAAACAATAAAAGTGATAATTGGTTTGTTTGACAGATAATAGTTGATAAAATTTTAGAAATTTAAGAATATCTAGTTTTACTTCATTTGGAAGACTTAATATTATTTCCTTTTTAACGGCGTATTTCATCTTCATTTTAGAATCTTATAATAATTTCTGTTTTTTTTTAATTTTTCAACATTATTTTTAAAATCCAACCTGGAAAATAAATTTTTAAATAAATATTTCAGAAAACTAGGAATAAAATTAATTTTTGAGGAGTAATAGGAAAATAATAGCAAAAAAGGCTGTAGTATTTTTTGCCTACTGAATAAAAGTAAGAAAATTATTATAGAGGAAGTTCTGGGCAAGGCAAGTTTTCGGTCGATTCTGAGTAGCCCTTCTAAGAATGATTCATCAATCAGCATTTAAAATAACAGGTCAATAGGAGAAATATGAGGGAGTAAGTCGTACCCCTTTAGCTCTGCAGGAGCGATTGGATAAGGCAAAGCCAAACTTAGCACTCTTTATTAAAACAAAATGAGCGATAAAATTTTTTTATAAATTAAAAAAATATTCAATGTAAATACACAATAAATAAAAAAATGTACATAAATCGCCAAATAAAATTTCAATAATAATTGTCAATAACTTTCCCGAAAAAATTAATTTATTCATTAGCAGTTTGTCGCCTAATTAATTGTTGCCGGAAGAATTGAACATTTTTCTTATCCTTTTTTCGCTCATAAATTCTATCAACTTCTTTTTTGGCTCCATTAATTAAATGTTTAGAATCTTCCAAATAATCCAAAAATAATAAAAAGGAGTCTGGTCTATTATAATAGACAGAATCTGTGAAGACTCTGAAAAAAGAATTTTTTATTATTATTGTTATATCCGAATTTTAGTTTATTTTTGGGGCTGAAAAATTACTAGCTTATAATGGGGATTAGCTTAAACAAGTGGTAACGTTTAGGAAGCTCCCCTGATTAATGGGCAACTAAATTAACTAGAATATAAGGCTTAGACACAAGCGGTTAACCGAACAGAAAGTGAAAATGGATTTTTAACAAATTAACTGAAGCCGAGAACCGAAGGTCGTAACTCAGTGATAACCAAAAATCGGGGGGTACTTGTTCAACCCTAGAAAGTAACCTAAAGTGAGATAGATGTTTCAATAATCGGCTAAATCGAGATGTTCCAATAGTGGGAGTGCATAAAATTGAGGTTCTTTGCAGACTGGAACTAATAAATAATTAAATAATTAATTAATTTACCTAAAATTTTCTCTTGAAAGAATTATTTTTCTTAAAGGATCGCACCAATTTTCTAATAAACATTCAAGTTTCTTAAATCGTTCTAATCTTTCATCACGGCTAAGTCCTTCAACCTTAAATTTATTTAAATTCAAAGCAATTTTTAAGACTAGAAAGCCGTCTCAAATATTTTATTAACGTTAATTTTGCAAGGCTCGACAATTTTTATCCCCAAAAATCCCGTCTCCGATATTTTTAAAATTTATTTTAACCGGCCGACGATATTGCCCTAGATTTATTATAGGAGTCAATCAAGGATGTAACGGGTTATCTGAAACCTGGTCAATTTTTGGATCCAAATCAATATCCGATTTTTTTCTAATCATTTTTCTCTGTTCCTCGAGTTAACTAATATAAAATGAAAATTTTATTTTAAAAATTACATCTAATGTTTGATATGTCTTGTGATAAAAATTATTCCAACTCATTTGTGCCATTCCTTAAATATTAAGTTAGAAAAATAATATTTTTTATTAAATTTAAACCCCTTTTATTTATCCGACAAAGCACTGTGCAGAGAAATCGAACCATTTCTGGATGTTGTAAATTAAAACAAACTTTTTTCCAACATAAAAAGCCTTAAAATTATTTTAATCTTAGAATCAGAATGAAGTGTCAGAATAATTTTTTGAATCAGAATTTTAATCAGAAAAGTTTCTGGATGATCAGAAAATTAAAATTTTTCAGAAATAAAAAAATAAGAATAAAAAATCAGAACTTTTTGAAACAATAAAATCAGAATTGATATGTATGTATAGGTAATGAGATCTAAAACAGAATTTGCACTCAAAATTAAACCAGAAATAAAAATCAGAATAAAAATCAGAAATAAAAATTAAAATAAAAATCAGAAATAAAGATCAGAATTAAAAATAGGAATTAAAAATCAGAATTTAATCAGAATTAATTAAAATTCAGAATTAGGTAATTAAATCAAAATTTTAAATTTAAACATTATGCTTACCAATAGCTTCCATTTGTCCTTCGCTCAATCCATCCCTTTAATTTTAATAAAATAATTTTTAAAAATTAATTAATCCTTAAATATTAACCATAATCTTTTAACTAATTCAAGAAATCCATTATTAATTGCAAATTTAAAAGCAAGCATTAATCTTTGATCAACAATTAGTCGATCTGATCGGTATAGTTTAGTCCATTCCTGACGGTCAGCAAGTACTCTAAGCCAGAAATGGTAGATTGGATGGTTGTCTAATTTCTTTCTATAATAGTTAAATAAAAGATTAAATTATTTAACTGAAAATAAACCCTCAAATTATATCAGAATTTATTTTTAGAAATCAGAATTTAGGGTAGAATCAAATTCCTCATTTTCTGAATCAGAAATTCTTAATAAGTAAAATCAGAATTTTAGTCAGAAAAGCTGTTTTCTGATTTTTTTATCAGAATAAATATCAGAATTGAGGGTAGAAAATCAGAATTCTAATTTTAAAAGCTAGAATCTTCTTAAAAATCCAATTGTCTAAACCAACTTAAACGCCCTCCTTCTATTCTTATCAAAAATTCTCTCATCCTCCAATAATTCTTCCATAGCATAGCAACAGGCAAATTGAAATTTTAATTGTGACCAATTTTTGCACTGACTTTCCACTATATTTTTGGCTGTCGCAAAATCATTAATTTTAATCCTTTTTTGAAAAAATTTCAAAATTAAATTTTCTACGATTATTATAGGACAACACTATAGGATACATCCTTGGGCCAAAAATTTTGTGGCTTATACTGAGGTGCCTCTTAAATAGAGGGTATTGTTTAAGCAGTTCTCCCATGCATGGATCAACCATTTCAAAGAAAGGATCTCTTAAACTGAGGTGCTTTAAAATTGGGGGCATCTACTTATAAGTCCGCTATATAAAAATAATTTTACATTGTCTTCTCCCAAATTAGGCAATCATAAAATATCCGTAAATATTCCGATTTTTCTAAAATTCTCATTGCTCTCCTTTGCGGTTTATATAAAGATGTATTAGTTTTGGAACAGTCTAAGCTTTGAGCTTTTTGACGTAAAGCTGCTTTTCGTATGGCAAGATTTTCTTCTTCAGGAAATATTTGTGTGTGTTTTTCAGCTAAAAATTAATTATTTTTTTTTAAATTTGATTTTTAAAAAAGCAGAATACGGAGCTTTTATAAACGTAAAAAGTAAACGGAAGCAACGTCCCTGTTGCGCCCATGAAATTTTTTGGCTTCGACAAATAATCCTTAGATTAAACTTTTATCACCTATCTATACCAGGTATCTAGCCGACATAAATCTAAATTCCCAACTTTGGTAAATCCCGAGAAAATTTTAATACCCATTTCAGGGGAGGATAATGGTTTGGAAAGTAACAATAATCCATATCATTTCGCTTCCGCAAATTTTTCTTGTAATTAAAAATAATTTTTAACATGGACAGTTTTAATATCCACTAATCCCTAATGTGTAACTAATCCAAAAACTAATCCCTAATTTTTTGCTTCAAATTGAAAATAATTTTTTCTACGGTTAGTCTTAATATCCATTAATCCCTAATGTTTAACATGGTCAGTTTTAATAAGCCACTAATCCCCAATGTTTAATAATAAAAATTATTATTATTCTAAATAATTACTCCATCTTTTCAATTCAAATATTGCTTCATCCAAAGCATCCAATATTTGTAAACGGATTACTTCATTTATTTTGTTCCATTTAATTATATATTCTCGGCATTCTTCTCTAAATTCTTCAATTCGTCTCCAACGTAGTTTGGCAGTAACCATTGTTAATATAATTTTTCTTAGGGCAAGAGAAGAAAGTTTTGGGTGTTTTTGACTTGAATTAGTTAGATCAGACATCTAAATATTTAATTATTTTAATACGAGCTAAAATTTCTAATAAATTTGAAAATAATTTAAATAAGAAAAGGCTGCATATTATTAGGAAGGATGCTGTTACAGATTTTACAAAAATTTCAACAAATACGACAGATAAAAGATTCATTTTTAGGTGAAATCACGGTTCCCTAAAACTATAAATCCAGTTTCCTGTTACAGAATCTTCGTTGTAGATGAAATCACGATCTTCATACAAATAAATATGAATATACAAAAGACCCGTTATCGTTTCGAATTAATAGGCTTTTGTGATTTGGATAGAGTTAGTAAAATTATAAATCTGCTTTATTTCCTTGAATTATTACCTAGAATTTTCAGCCCTACGTTGGAGAGGGGAATTAATAGAGGAGATAATCAGTTTATGGATGATTCACCTAAAGAATTTAAAACGCTAGGCAGGGGTATAAATAAATATCTTTTGGTTATTCATATTTATATATATACGATCTAAAAGGATAAAAGATAATGCATTAGTCGATGCCGGTAGCATTTGGGTGAGCAAGGCCGAGCGTCCTGCCCGGTGGTTAAACTATTGCTAAACTCTTCCTTTAGGGAGGGAAATTAATCCTTATGGAGACGTAGTAATTATGATCTTCAAAATCATTAATAATCATGCCTTTAATAATTAATCTCTCTTAATAATAGGTATTATTAAAAAAATATAAAATAATAATAAAACAATAATAAAAGATTTCGTAATAAAATCACACGATTTTTTCAATCTTTTCTCATTTTTATATTTTGATTTAAGAATGATTGAAGAACAAAGAAGGTATTTAATAGATAAAAATACTAAAAAAATTGTTTTTACAGCTGCTTTTTAAAAAGATTTAGTAATTTAGTTAGCAGTTGGATATAAAAAATGGATTTAAAATTGTATAGTAAAAACAAAAAAATAATCTGAGGGAACGGAAAGAGATTCGATGGACTTTTAATAGAAAACTAGGTATATTAATAGTGCAACCCTTCTAAAGGATAGGAAAATGTCTGTTATTTACGTATAAAATTAAATCATTTAGAAGAATTCACGTGAGTTTAAGCCCAAACATTTTTTATCATGGGCAATAAAATATATTTTAGAAATGATCGAACAATAAAAAATGATTTTATTTTATTAAGTCTTCATAATCTTCACCTGAGCTAGGCGAAAATAAAATTTTGCTCTCAACGAAACGAGAGAAACAAAAAATTATTTTTAAACAAAACACGAAACAAAACGAAATTCATCGAAAAAATCCATGAAAATCTACGAAACACGAAACGAAGTGCCCAGCTCCCGGAACCCAGAATCTCTTCAAATTATTCCCGGTTCACTACTGTTATTCACTACTGTTATTTTCCCCTGCTCATACTATTCTTCTACATTTGCCACTACCGGGGCTTTCTGTATCTTTTGGTTCTGTGTTTTTTAAAGCCTTTAATCTAGGCTCTCAAACATTCAACCTTGAAGAGATTCCAGGTTCTTATGGGTTCGTTTTCATTGAATTATGGTGATAGGAAATTAGTATTTTCTGATTCATTACAGATTTTGAAAAAAATGCATCGGATCTGGCCAGATTTTCCGAGATTAATAAGGAACCCAAAAATCCAAAGATTGAGGAAAAATCGAGGTCTTCTAGATCTATCAAAGAAAACTACCAAAAACAAAAAAATAAATGTAGCAACAAAACATTTTATAAATTTATTTTATTAAATTTGACACTCTAAAATAAATTATTTTTAAAAAAGTTTCAAGGTAGATTTAAAATGAAAGTAAAAAATAAAAAAAAAGAAAACGGCTGTCTTCTTTTAGTGTCAAAAATCACAAGGGGAGGGAATTTATTTTATTGTTGTAAGCATTCTAAAAATGAGAGATTAAAGAGAGATTTTATTAAGTAAAGTAAAATAAAGTTTAAAATTACAAAATAAATTTGCTAATACATAATACTTTAATCTTTACAATAGAAAATACAATTTTAATGAAACAAAGGTCGAACCAGAAGTGTGCGGAAACAAATTTTAAAAAGCGAAACCCGAAAGATGAAACACCTAAAAGACGAAAATTTGGCGAACGACAAAAGGCGAGAGAAACACTCCCGTACCAGAAGACTAAACTTAGTTAAATGAGATTAGTGTAGAGGAGTTAATTAAATAATTGTTTGGAATAAGATTCTGTTGTCCTAGACAGTGGTTGGCAACTCGTACTCGCACCTGTGTACTAAGTACGAGTACAAGGCAAAAATAACATGTACGAAAGAAGAGTACGAGCAAATTTCAAAATTCCAACCACTGGTTCTAGAATAGGGATTATTTAAAGTCATTGGAATAAATGAGTCTTCCTTACGATCAGATAATAATTAAAAGTTTTATCAAAAAGATTTTATTAAAAGAAAAAATTAAAAAATATTTTTCTTTACATTTAACTGTGAAACAAAAAAATTTTTTAAGTGGAGTAAAAAACTAAACGAAAATATACAAGTTAAGCCTTGTGCAAACAGTACCTGTTTGTGTGTCCTTTATTTTTATATTTATTTTTTACAATTAAAATTGTCAAGAGCTTAAAAAATAATCAAAGAAAACTGAATTATAATATTTTATTCAGTGGATGCAAAGCTAAACAATTAATATTTTTAATTTAGAAATTATATTATTAAAATTAATTTTAAAACAAATTTATGTATTTTTTAAATCCAGTTGGAACTCATTAACCCTTTCCTAAATCCGGAATTTTGCCTGAACCCGCAATCTGCAATTTTAGGTTTAAAATCCGCACCCGCAATCAGTAGCTAAAAATAGTTGGCACCAGGGATGGGTTGAGGAAAAAGCTAGGATAGCGATTCGAGGGATTGTGGGTGCGTATTTTAAAATTAATTCGTGGATTGCGTGTTCGGGCAGAAAAAAGTCCAAGTTTAGAAGAGACGGGTTCGTGTAAGCTGATCCACCATGACTGACCCTAGGATACCTCCTATATAATTTATCCTCTATATAAGGACCCAAATGTTGTTAGGTCCAAAGAGCATACGAGTTTCGACTATATACAGGGTGCGGCAAAAGTTCCCGTACTTTTATTAAACATAAAATTTATTTCTAATATTTTCTTAGATTTTATAAAATCTATAAAAAAATGTTTATTAATAACTAATGAATAGAAAAATTATAACAAATGTCCAAAATGTTCTCCCTCCGCCAAGATATACGCGTCCAAACGCTTACTAAATTTGCCCACTATGGTTGGGGGGGGGGGGGCACCGAAAAATTTTGGGCTTTTTCGGTGCATATATATGAGCATATTTTTGAATTTTTCGTGCATATTTTGAAACACCCTACTTATGAACTATATCAAAAACGTTCTAGAATATCGGGAGATTTATGAGTAGCTTTATTCCGCATGTAGGTATGCATGTCACGAAATGTTTGATTTACATGGATTGATACATTAATTAAACGAATGCATTCATCCAATCGTCTTGCACCCTCAAGCATGCCCCATTTATTTTGTTGATATCCAAGTAACATTCTCGTGTATCTAGCAGACTCTTCATATAACAACTCTTTTCCATAGTGTGATAGACCTTCAATAACTTAATAAAGAATTAGGTATGTATGGTCTTTTAAATTTATTATAAATCTACATGGATGTGAAAATATAATAGCAATTAATAGTGCATATTCCTCCTTGTATAGTGCCGCTTTTTTAAAGGGAATTACAGACTTTGTAAATATTCGATCAGCCATGGTAATCAAACTGTTTATTAAGAAAGGAAAAATATTAAAGTATAGGTAGGAGGTATAATCAAATGGATAGGAGTATTTGAGCCGGCAAAGATACTATCTTAAAATGAGGGGTATCTCAAAGGGTATCGTTTAGACAGCTCGTTAACGAACATATCTTAAATTAAGGTTTATTTTGGCTGAGTTTGACTGAAATAAGGAAAGTCTTACTTAAAATCCTGCACAAAATCTTTATTTTTAAGTAGACCAAGGACAGGCATAACGCAATCTTTACGTGCCCAGGTATCTACGCCCAGCTCACAAGGTATAAATGAACTTGCAAAGCATAGGAATGGGCCTGATACATGTCGGCAAAGTGCTATCTACAAAAACAAAAATTATTTCGTCTAGATTCGTCGACCGACTTTATCAGCCATAGATAACTTATCAAAGAAAGGCATAGATCTCGCAATAGCAACACATATCAGTTGATCAACTAGAACACACTTATATGTTCTCTTATTAAATAATCCGTCACTTTCAGTGTCCAACACCAAGCTAAGCATTTCCTCTCGAGAAATTGGAGGAGGATTTGGCTTGAAAATGGACGAATATTTTTGTATTCTGATACAAATTTTACCGAAAACATTTCAATATAATCGAAAATATTAATCCCGGAAAGTATAATATCCTCAAAATAAATCAAGCCACTGAGCAGATTCTCGTTTACATCATTAAAGGCATGCATAATTCTTTTCTGATATTCACCCATTTTTATAAGTAAATTAACTTGTTTGTGTTCATTAACAGATTTCTCGACAATCATAGCACTAATCTAAAATTATAATTTGATAAATTTTATCCAACTTCAGTCAGATCTAGCTTAATGATACTTGAGGCTGAAATAATCTTATCATACCCCTTTTATTCACCGATATCCCTTCAAGTTCCCCTTCTTTAATCACCTTACATCTCTCGAAATCTCTTGATATCCCCGAAATCTATTACAGAAATTTTTTTTGAACATAACGTAATCCCAGCGTAATCTACAATGTCAAACATAGCTAATCTACCTTTTGGTCTTCCAAAATTTTATTATATTTCAACTCTTGTCTGGATGAATATTTTTTAGAGCACACTCTCGAAAAGCACTCTGAACTCATATTTGTTTGTTGCTGTCTTTTCGGTGGAACTTTTTCTATTAGATTTGATCTCTTTGATGAATTTTCTGTTTTATAGCAAGCTCCTGAAATCTCAGGAGCTTCTTCTATTTCTTTCATTCCAACAGAAAGGCATTTATTAAGATGACATTTTTCACAGTCTATCAACCTCAAAGGTGTCTTGAATCGTGCTGGAAAACATTTGCATTCAAATTTGATTCCTTCATTTTCGAGATGGATCCTTTTTTAAATTTGAATTTTAAATTTATTTTATAGCATTTTTAAAACTTGAAAAATGCTGCACAAACTCTACAGCAATCAACATTATATTGATGAGTAACTTTCACAACAGAACCGCATATTTGACATTTATTAGCTAAGTTTATTTTCATTTTAATAAGAATAATTCTAAAATTTTTATAAATAATATTTAATTCTCAAGGGCCGGTCAGTGGCCTTAGCCTTTCGTCTCCCATAAAAGAGTTAGTGACTACAAACTCTTATTTATACCAGTTTAACGTTATTTTAGATAAGTACCCATGGTAACCGGAAACGGCACAAGTACCGCAACCTTTACCCAGTCACCAACAAAATTGAAAAAAGGTAACTTAAATTGAAAATATTAAATTAGGAAATATAAATGTGTCTTAAATTATTATAAGAAAAGATTAAAAAACGAAAGACAAAAAACTAAAAAGACAAAAAACGGTTTTATTCGTAACTAGCTCTGTTCTAACCACATTAATTTGTGAGATCCATAAACCTCATCTTAGAACTGGTCCTATTTCAGGTAAGGTTTTCTGTCTCAATAAAAGCGGGATTAATTAATTATATAAAACAATTATATAAAAATTTTTTTTAATAATATAAAATTTTACTTTAATAATTACAAAAGCGCCTAGTGATCTCTCCCTAAAAAATTATCTCAAATCGAGAGTATTAAATTTAGAAATATGTAAAATTAAGATTAGGTAAACTGTGTTAAGACTCTCCTTTGCTAAAGGAGAGTGTCTATGTTAAAGGAGAGTGTCTATGTTAAAGGAGAGTGTCTGTGCTAAAGGAGAGTGTCTAATTTAATTTAAAAAACGAAAGGCGAAACATTAATCGAAACTGGCACGCTCATGTTTACAGGGATCACAAGACTGTTTTACTGATCTATTTTTCAATTAGGGCCTCTTATCTCAATACAATATGGGTAAATTATTTTAAATTTAACAGAGAATTGAATTTAATAATTAATCAAATTAATTTATCAAATATGAAAATGTTTAAATTAAATAGTCGATATAATTTTAAAACTAAATAAATGGAAGGATTTATAAATTTCCATAGTACATTTTTATTCGATTCCATAATTTTTTAAATAAAATGCTAAATACACAAATAATACTAAATTATATATTCGAGAGAGACTAAAAATCCACGTTAGTACACAATGTGATTAAAATTTTTGAAACAATATGATTAACAAATTTCGTTTACAAGTGATGTTTGAGTATTTTTGGAAGTAGTTTGAAATTTTATTTTAAATAATTTTAAAATTATATTTTACGATTTTTTGTTATTATGACGTTATTTGGCAATAGGCGAGCTCACTAGACAATTGTGGAAAAAGCAGGTGGCGGGGGCTTAGGTTCACGCAACTGCGAATTGCGGACTTGCGAACTACGTTTGTGGATTTTAAAAATTATGAATTACGAAAAAATTGAGTAATTTTTCTTTCATTTGCGTGCAGTCCAGTGATGGGTCGGGTTACCCGAAACCCGGTCTTTTTTCCGACTCAAAACCCGACCGATAAATTTTCCAAAACCCGACCCGAAACTCGACCCGACATTTTTGTAGAAAGAGATGAAAAGTTGTGGCCTCCCAAAATTCTCAAAATTTTGCCTACGGAACTAAATAAAAAATTACCGATTTTTCTTATAGACATTTCGAATTTACTTAAAAATATACCTAGAAATAAAATATTGAAAAATACTTCATAAATCAAGGAAAGATTATTCTTAAAGATCAAGTGAAAATTTCCCAAAATTATTTTATTTGCCTTTGATGTTTTAAATAAAAATGAGGGAAAAACTTGAAAAATGGGAAGCAAGAAAAATTTTAAACATAAATACATATTTCCCCTCACATTTTCCCATATTTTATTCAAAAATTAATCTTTTTTGATGGAGAAAAGTTTGGGAAAAATTTAAAACTTCGCCCAACCCTCTTGTCTTTAACTAATTGAATGCCAAAGATGTTTCATTTTTTAATTTTACAATTTCTAAATTTTACGAAACAAAAGTAAAACTTCAATTGTAAAAATTAATTTTTGATTTTTTTATTTAATTTTTTGTCAAATTTTCGATTGATTTCCGGTTGATTTAAGCTGATTACCGGCTCATTATATCTTCAACCCCTCGTCTTACTGGTTTAAACGTAAGAAAAAGGCAAATTTTCTTCCCGATTCAAAGTATTCAGCATCAAAATTTCTAGAGGTGTTTTTAACTCTATTTCTGGTATATAATTTTTGATATACAAATTTTTTCATTCAGCTTTGGATGTTCCAAATTTCAAAAATATTTCTCAACAACCGGCTGAAAAATATTTCAAGCTTCAGAAGGACTGCGACGATAATCGATAAAACTATCTCAGATGTAGCCAAATTACGAGGCAAAATTACGTTATCAGCGATATAGTTTTGAATTGCCATCATATATGGTTTATTTTCGCCTTTTTTAGAATTTATTCCTTTTTAGATTTTTATTAGTGATATAATAACTGCTCGAAGCAAAGAATACATATTTAATGATAGAATCAAGAATTTTCTGTCATTGAATTATGGGTGTGATCATCCTTTATATTCACGATATTGTCTATTATATGAATATCGTGACTGCAGATATTTTCGTTGGAAATCTACTCTAACGTCAAAGATTAATTCTAATCTAAACAAATACAGATTTGAGGTAAATTTATATTTCTAATGGGAAAATTTTTTAGATTTATTAATAGATTATTTTTAATTTTAACCTTGAATCTCATCTTCTCCCTTTTCTCCCTAATTTTCACGTGTATTAACTAATTGTAATTTTGAGGTATTAAAATTAAGAAAATGCCACTTTCAAAAGTGAAGGTGGCATAATTTAAATAAAAAAATTTTCAATTAATTTTGATTTTATAGATAAACTTCGAAATAAGTTTTTCCAAATACTTACAACTAATGGAAATGTTATTAAATTTACTCTTTTCGGACAATCAGAAAATTTATGGCAATTTGGGGATAAGACAGTTGTCGAACCAGATGGTGAACGGACAAAATAAGATAAAATGTTTGTTTTTATGCAACTTGTGAATTAGTTATCCCTGACCTGTCTTTACGGACATATTTTGCAGACTCAATTTTATGTACTGAATGGTCATACTTTCTCCATTTATCAAATTTACTCTATTTATCTGTCCCATTATTAAATGACAGGTATTAATAAAACCAAAGAGGGGCATTATTCGTAAATTCTAAATCGTAAATTTATTCGTAAATTCTAAATTTCTGTTCAAAAAATTTTTCCTTTAGTTGACTCACGGATTTGGAGGTCATATTCACTGAAGTCTACTCAGTATTGATGGAAATATAGGCAGAAATTTTTATGGAATTTTTGGACGGACAAAATTTGATAAATTTATCTTGAGTCTATCTTTTTTTCCGGGGCTGTATATCAACTCTACAAATTAGCTTCAACTGTATATTCTTATACTATTGACATTTTTTGATTCAAAAAATATTTTATCAAAGTGAATTATTCAAATAACGTTCAATAAGATCATTAGATTTATTTTGGGTTATATCACGTAGATGGATATGCATTTCACGAATTGCTTGATCTATTTGGAATGATATATTTATTAAACTAAAGCATTCATCCAGTCTTCCTGCACCCTCAATTACTCCCAATTTATTTTGATGATATTCGAGTAACATTCTCGTGTATCTAGCAGACTCTTCATATAACAAGTCTCTTCCATAGTGTGATAACCCCTCAATACCTTAAACAATTATGGCTTTTAAATTTAGTTTCGATTTTACTTGGGTGTGAAAACATAATAGCCATTAATAGGGCATATTCTTCTTTGCATAGTGCCACTTTTTTAAAGGGAATTACAGACTTTGTAAATATTCGATCAGCCAAGATAAACAATCTGTTTAAAAAATGTAAAAGATAGATATTTCAATTTGATACAGAATACATCACTATGAGATACCCTTTGGATATAAATTGCATATTATAGTAATGAGGGGCAGTGCCGAGTATTGGGCATTTGTTGACTCCTACACAAACATTTTCAAACCTAGGCTCCGGCTCAGAGGTTTTCGAATTCCTGTCTCCGGACCCGGCTCCCGAAGCCATACCGATCGCTGATGAGGGGTCTTGGCTTTCTAACATTTTAAAAATGCTTGTCTCTTTGTTAACTGAATATATTTTATCTTTTATTTGTGATTTTGCCCTATTTATGCCACATATAGCATAGGATGTATCTCATAGTGAGGCTGGCTTTAGCAACAATCGTACTTATGATCCTGCATAAACTCATTGTTTTTAAGAAGACCAAGAGCAGGCATAACACAATCCTTACGTGTCCAAGTATCCACTCCCAGCTCACACGGGATAAATGAACTTGCAAAGCATAGAAATGGACCTGATACATGTCGACAAAGTGCTATCTACAAATTAAGAATATTAAAATCATTTTATTGCCCGATTCAAACAGACCTTATCAGCTATGGATAACTTATCAAAGAAAGGCAGCGATTTTGCAATAGCAACACATAAAAGATGATGAACAATCACACATTTATAAGTTCTCTTATTAAATATTCCTTCCCTTTCATTATCCAATTCCCAGCTAAGCATTTCTTCTCGAGAAATTGGCCGAGGATTTGGCTTAAAGTGATCGAAAAGCTTCTTTGTAAATTCTAATACGAAATTACCGAAAACATTTCAATGTGTTCGAAAATATTAACTCCTGAGAGTATAATATTTTCAAAATAAATTGGGCCATAAAGAAAAGAGTCGTTCATATCAGTAAAAGCATGCATTATCCTTTCCTGATTTTTAGTGATTTTTAGGAGGAAATTAAGT